TTTTGTCAGCTGCTTCATGTGGACTTAAAATGACACATCATTTGGTGAATAGAGCTGCTTCTCTCACAATTACATCTTCCCCTGATGGTTACATCAATCACCAAGACGTCTATGTTAAAATCTCCAACTATGTTTGCAGATTTGTTTCTTCTTTAAATCCGGTCATCGTTGCTTAGTATATCTAAGCCATGTGATTAGGTACCTGCACTTTTAAGTATTGTGTCTTCCAATCGAATGGAACTTCTATCATCGTGAAATGTCTGTCTTTAACTCTGCTAATTCTCCTAGTCTTTACACTTAGTATGACAATCTCATCAAATAAATTTTCTTAAGGTTCTGTTTGCATGTTGTAAATACATTTGCTATTGCTTTCCTTTTTTTTTTTTTTTTTTTTTTTTTTTTTCTTGAGATGGAGTTTTGCTCTGCCACCCAGGCTGGAGTGCAGTGGTGGGATCTTGGCTCACTGCAACCTCTACCTCCCAGGTTCAGGTGATTCTCCTGCCTTAGCTTCCTGAGTAGCTGGGACTTCAGGCATGTGCCACCATGCCTGGCTATTTTTTTTTTCTTTTTTGCATTTTTACTAGAGATAGAGTTTCACCATCTTAGTCAGGCTGGTCTCGAACTCCTGACCTCAAATGATCCACCTGCCTTGGCCTCCCAAAGTGCTGAGATTGCAGGTGTGAGCCACTGCACCTGGCCTATTCTTTTACTTTCAATCTGTAAACAGCATATAGTTAGGTATTTTATTTTTTATTTAGTCCAAAAAATGTCATTTAGGAGTTTTTAGTCTATATTTAATGTAACTACGAATATGATTGGATTTAAATTTATCATTTTGCTATTTGTTGTATATTTGTATTCTCTGTCCTTTGCTCTTTCCCTCCCACCTTCCTGCTTAGTTGGGGTAAGAATAATACTTATATTAATTGTACTTCCTTGGTTCTGTTTTCTAATGTAGGGGGAGCTTACTATGTGTATTTTTAACTTACCACAGTCTACATTCAAGTGCCAAACTTCTGCATGGTATTCTCATATTTCTGCCTGTAGAAACTCTGAACATTGTTTGGTCATTATGGACTACTGGTGATGAATTGTCTCAGTTTTTGCTGATTTAAAAATGTCTTTACTATGTCATGATTTTTAAACGGTGTTTCTTTTAGACTAGAATTCTAGACTGACCACTTTCATCTTCAGTCTCTTTGAAGATGTGATCAGTCTTCTGGGTTGCATAGTTTCCGAGGAGAAGTCTGCTGTCATTCTTATCTCTGTTCCTTGATAGTATGTTGTTTTTCTCCCGCTTCTTTGAAGATGTTCTCCTTTGCAGTGGCTTTCAGCAGTCTGTGATATGTGCCTTGCTGGGTTTTGTTGTGTTTTCTTTTCTGCCGGGTGCTTACAGAGCTTCTTGACTACCTGAGTTTATAGATTTGGAAAAATTCTGGCCATTATTTCATCAAATATTTTTTCTGTCCTACCTGCTCCTTTTCCAGGGCTCTAGTCACATGGGATAGGCTTGGTGGCATTATTCCATGGCCGCTCAGGCCTCGTTTCTTTCTGCTTCTCCCTGTACTTCACTGGGATCACACATTGCTGTATTTTCAGGTTGACTAACAGTTTCTCTTGTTGAGTCTAATCTACTACAGTCTCCACCAGGGTACGACACAGGTGGTGGATGTCAGCCTGCCTTTTTTCCAGCCAATGCAGTGTTTACCTAGTAGAACCATTCACAAACTGGCACGGGAAGTAGGGATGGGGACTGAGTGTGGATCCACAACAAAGAGCTGACCCATCAACAGTAGCCTTGGCTGATGCAGTTATCACTGAACTCCCAACCTGTTGGAAGCAGGGTCCTGCATTTAGCCCCAGGCACCACTCCTGGGCAAGGGACCCTGCTTAGCCAGCCCCCTGGAGGAGGCTGATCGCACTGGACTCTTCCATCAGGGAGGGGAATATCTCCTGGTTTCACTGCTCCCTTATTCCAGATATGGATGTGTCTTTGTGGTCAGTGTTTCCGCCAGCACCATCTGTGGCTTGACAAATGGCTTATTCACTATTGCCCACCTCCTGTGGCATTGTTAAGGAATTTCATTTACAGCAAAGGCAGCATGGGCATAGGTACACACTTGGAATCCCCACATTTCCCATCGCCCAGAGGTGGCGAGTCTGATAAAGCATAGGGATGACTTCTTGAAGCTTCAGGTGTGCCACCCGTGGGAGGCAGTGCCCTGCAACACTGGACTGCTGTCCTGAGGAGTGGGATAGTGCCTCGAACTGTGGACCAAGACATGGCACCATTTCATAGCCAGAATAATGTCTTTAATGCCAATGGGTGGAACTGGAACCAGCCCTGCTCACTCCCCTATCCCGCACTTACTGTAGGGTGGGCAGTGCTGCTGTTCAGAAGATCCTTGCATTTCCTTTCAGGGGCTCTCCCTGCAGGGCTGCATGTCCCTGGCTGGTGAATTCCGCTGCATCCCTGTGGCTCACTGTGGCCCATGAACCAGGAAGGGGGCCTGCTGTGTTTTGCATCTGTGCGGAAGAGTTGGCATCGAGACAGGGTTGTCACCTTTCTCTTCCCAATGCCATCTGACTGGCTGAGTCCCAGGAGGGGCTGCTAGGCTAGGCTGGATGCAGATGGTGACATGGAGCAGAGCTGCTGCTGACCTACCTGGGAGAGACGGGAGAGGACCACATCTATCCAGCGGAGCCCTGAGTTTCACTGGCTTACACTTGCTACTGCAGCATCAACTATCCTGGGCGGGCGGAGACGCCCACTCACGTACTTTGGCTTTTCCTGTTTGTGACGCTCTTTTGCTTACAAGGTCCTAATTTCCAAGGCTGGAATACTCTCGCCTGGGACCGCAGTGATCCATCTGCCGCACTGGGAGTTCAGACGGTCATCAGCTCTAGGGGGCTGCTCATGCCACTTAGCTAACAGGTCAAGAAAAGCATGCTGTGTCCCTGGAGATGGCTAACCTGATCTTGGAGCTCCGTGGGTTTTTCGGGTACTTCTCAGTGCTCTCACAACTAGTATTGTGACTAATATTGGCAAGATGACAACTGCTTCAGGTGCACTGGAAGGAAAATTTGAGTCCTCACACTGCGTGAAGAACCTTGACTATCCAAGGTACTGCTTAGGGTCAAGAAAACGTGGAATGGGCAGTGGAAGGAGGAAGGTGTAGATGCCGATCACAGTCTCGCAGCCAGCCCCAGCACGAGCACAGTAGTGGGGACACAGGTTGCCCTCTTTGTGTGTGTGGGGTGTGTGTGCATGTGTGTAAGTAAATGTGTGTGCATTAGTTGTGCATGTGCCTGCATGTGAATGTGTGCCCAGGAATGTGTGTGCATGTGATGTGCTCATATGTGAGCATGTGTGTGCATGTGCATAAGCATGTGCGTGATTGTGAGCATGTGTGGATGTGAACATGTGTTGTACGTGTATGTGCATGTGAGCCCGTGAGCAGGCATGCCATTTGTTAACTGATGACTCATTTCTCACCTCTCAGCATGCCCCACTGTTTACACAGGGAATATTAGTGGTGGCGGATGGTGAACTTTGAAGCTTAGTTTTTTTTTTTTTTGTCAGAGAATATCCAGAGGGTTTGTAGCCGTACCAGAGAATCTGCAACCCCCCAATGTGGCAAGGAAGATGCATGGGTCTTTACTTTTTCTGGGGAAGGTCAAAGCACCTGTTTGGTGGTGTTGGATGTCTGAGGTCTGTGGCTTACTTGCGGACACAGAGCAGCCACAGGCAGAGCAGTACTGTCATTCACGGCCCCACTTGCCCCCAGGCCAGCTTCCCACGTCCTGAGCTCTGCTTCATGGCCCAGGGGGTGTCTGCTCCCAGCCAGCTTTGGTTAGGATGAGCGTGTGGCAGCGGCTGGCCAGGAGGACCAGCCCATTCTGTCTGCCCTGGTCCTGATGGAGTCTCCGGCACAGCAGGTACGGCCATGTCAACTCTTGCCTGAACACCGGGAGTGGGTTCAGCTTTCCTGAGGGCTCCACCTTCATTACCACGAGTTACCCTGCTGGGCACCTGCCCATGTGCGCATACCGGGCACGGCCACCCTGCCCACAGCCTGCACCCGGAGCCAGCCGCTGCTCCTCTTCGGTCTCACACCAGCCAGGTCTTAGCAGCAGCTGCCCCGTCCGGTGGGCCGTGGATGCGCAGCTCTAGTCTTTGTTTTAACCCTTGCTGTACTTGAAAGCTTGGACATATTTAATCAATTTCAAAGGTGGTACTCATATAAAAAATGGCAAATGCGTACAAGCAGGAAGAAATAAGGAAAAACTGCTGTTGCTTGAAATAATGTCATTTTGGTGCCTGTTTGCTGTCAATGAAGGTCAGACTGCACGGCCCACTGGTAGCCCACGTCTGAAGACTTACCTTCCTGACAATATGACGATTCACCTTCCAACCTCTCAGCACCCCGTCATTTTACACAGGGAAATGCGTGGTGCTGGGTGGTGAACTTTGAAACTTAAGTTTTTCAAAGCATGAAGGAGGAGTAAGGACGGCAGACTGGCCGCTGGCAGGCTTTTTTCTCCTCAAGGTTTCTTCCATCCTTGACGCTGGTGGAGACACAATCTTGATTCTTCACATGCAGTTTTGGGGAGTGTAACGGGCGAGAACCATCTTTTACTCCTAGTTCCAAACCTTTTACTGATTCAATAGGACTAAATGCCAGATCCATTTTCCTCTCTGCTTGACAAAACATGCTTAAGTGCGTGCGCTTAAAACAGAAATGAAAGAAGCCAGCCCAGAAGGCAGGCAAACAGCCATCCACGTTTGAACTCCATAAAATGTCTGCTACTGTCTGCAGAATACCAAAGCACTCCAGAGCATCCCTTTGCCCCCAAGGTGGCTTTTTTTTCTATAGGATTTCAATTCTTGTGTTTCCTAAACGTGCTCGAACCACACTAAGAAAATCTCATCTGGATGGGTGCTGCTGTCACAATGCCTGCTGTTGCCCTTCTAATCAAAAACCCACACAAGACACCACTCCCAAGTATAGAAGACTGTATGTTTTATTTATTTCACGGAAAATCCCAAGTTCCTTCACGGCGACCCTCCCTCTGCCCTCACGCCCCCGCAGGCCTGGCCCATGCTGCACCTGCCACCGCCTGGCTCCCAGGCCACCAGGAGGCCCGCCACGTCCCTTCACACACACGAGGAATCCGACTCGACGCTATGTACATTCACAGTTCTGAATACCCACCAACTCTAAGTCCCCACACAAGAGAAAAGAGAATCAGGAGGAACAAACATCCATTCAAAGTCTGGTTATCAGAGATTTTTTTCTGAAAATGCACAGTGGCATTTCATTCAAAAAACCCTTCATCTGCAGACCTGCCGGGAAGCGGGTGGCCTGGGTCCCTTCCCTCAGAATATCTTAGTTTGTTTACCTCCGTCATTGGCCATGTGCAGGCTCTTCTTTAAAAATGAATCTTTACGCATTCTCCAGTTCTAAAATCAATGTTAGCTACCAAGGCTACACTAGAATTTCTTCCGTGTCCAACAGGCCCAGAGCCCTGAAATTGACTTCGGGTTACTCCGTCCTGTCTGGCCTGGCTGGCAGTGTCCACGCTAGAAGCAAGTCGAGGTGATTGATTGAAACGGAGCTGAAGGTTGTTTTCAAGCGTCTGTCAGTGGAGAAACGCGTATTGCGAATCTCTCTGAGAAAGTTAGTAAACATTGTTCTCCTGTACTTACTGGCCTTGGTGGTCACTTTCTATAGAGATGCCCCAAATATTAAAATCAATTCATTTCAGAAATCAAAAAAATTTTCCAGACAAACCTGGAGCTTTTGCTTTAGGAAGCAAACTGAAGTCTGTGACGATTATTGTGCTTGAAGGATGGGTTTCTAATCGTCATAGAAAATGACGAAGCAAGGTGACGTCATGAAGACTTCAGGTGACACCCAAATACCCCAGTGCCTGGAAGCCCCTTCGCCTGTGACTCTGAGAGGGGGCAGGACCCACGCGCTCAGCGGGATATGCCCGCGACCCCGGCGCTGGGAGGCAGCGCTGCAGGGAGGCGCAGTGTCTGCGCGGCTGTCACCAGACATCCCCATCACCCTCCGCTCCGCGCAGCCCAGCCTCTCCTTCCACAGGCAAGAGGCTGCGGCTTCTCTCTGCAGGGCAGGAAGGTCAGCCATGCCGGGGCCGCTGCGTCACACCGGTCACCATGGAAACCGGAGCTGAGAGGAAGATGCAGCCGCTTGCAGCAGGGACCCGGCCCCAGAGCCAGGGAGGAGTGGCAGGGTGGCGGCCGCCTTTAGTTCCCAGCTCGGCCCAGCTCATCTGAACAATAGCCAACCTCAGATTGGAGTGTAGGCTACAGTGAAGTGGATGACGTCATGACGAAACAGAAACAGCAAACTGGCAACGTTTATAAAAAAGAGGGGACTGGCAAAGGATTAAGGAGGAAAAGTGTTTTGGGGCTGGGTCCTTGAGCTGACACCTCCCCGAGGGGACCCAGCAGGAGGAAAGGGATTACCTGCCGGAGAGAGACCTGATGGAAATTTAAGTCAAAGCCCAAACAGCCTCAGATTCTATTAAAAAAAAGGCCTATAAATAAATATCCTTTGACCCTAAAAGGAAAAATGAAGTAGAAAACAATTTCCATTTTTTAAAAAATGCTGCATGTTTCCTGAAGTACCTAAATGGAGTTTATAAAATACTCATGAGCTCCTGCACGCGGTAGAAACACTGAGAAACTGGGCAGCGGCCCTGCCAGGCTGCGGATCCGGAGGCGGACAGAGGTGCCAGAGCTACAGGCAGGCACGCTCCGCGTGGCATGTGTGTGCTGAGTGCGCACGAAGGCCCGCCCGCTGCACAGGGCCGCGGCAGGGACTCGAAACCAGGACCCCGTGGGAGGACACGGGGCGACCCCATGGAGTCCAGGCCCCCGGGGGTCCGCATGCGCGCGCCCTCCGATTCTCGCACAGTAAGCGTCGGTTCTGCAACAGACTCTTCACCAAGGAACGAAATAAGAACAGCCCCCGCGGCCCCTCGAACTCGGGCCGAAGGCAGTGCCAGGACAGCGGGGGTGGGGAGCGGAGCCCAGAGGTCACTCTCAGAGAGGCTCGTGGCGGTGACGGCCACGCGGGAAGGGCCGAGTCTCACGCAACCCTCGGTCCTAATCCAGCTTCTTCCGAGCGGGCTTCCTCCCAGCGTCAGAGTTTTCCGGGCTGAAATCGGCACAGAAACCGTTTGGGATCGGCGCAGGCGGGGTCTTCGCACAGCTTTCGAAATGCGTCTGCTCCGGGTACAGGTATTCCTCCGCGAAGTCCGGGTACAGCTCTGCAAACCTGTGGAAGTCGGCTGGAGAGACGAAGGGGCCTGTGGTTATACGGGGAGGGGAGAACTTCTAGGACTGGGGGGCTGTTTTCCCAGGGCCCTGGTGAGTGTCCGCCTCATGCCCTTGGGGGAGGGTTAGAATCGTCTGTGAAATGGATGCTTTCAGGGTGGAGAGGGGAACTCACGCTTCCTTGCCGGGCACTATGGTCACCCTGACAACAGGTGCAGGCTGTGTGTCCCCTACCTACTGCTGACAACGGGGGGGGGCTGTGTGTCCCCTACTGACATCGGGGGGGGGCTGTGTGTCCCCTATCTACTGACATCGGGGGGCTGTGTGTCCCCTACCTACTCCTGACATTGGGGGCGCTGTGTCCCCTACCTACTGCTGACAACGGCGGGGGGGGGGGGGCTGTGTGTCCCACTAGCTACTCCTGACATCAGGGGCAACTGTGTGTCCTGCTTTTGGGGAAACCTACAGAAAGCTTATGGTTCTGAATTTGACAGGTAAGTCCTGGACGTAGCACTTCTGAGGCACTGTAGCCAGAGGAGCTGGCTCAGGAATAAGACCAAGTGTCAGGGCGGTGATCTGGCGCTCTGAGGGGGTGCCGTCGCCTGCACCGGGGGACCTGGGCAGTGATCTGGTGCTCTGAGGGGGTGCCCTCGCCTGCACTGGGGGACATGGGCAGTGATCTGGCGCTCTGAGGGGGTGTCCGTGTCTGCACCAGGGGACCCAGCAGGCAGGGGGCTGTCCTCACAGAGCCTCTGACTGCACTTCCTGGCCACTCTGAGCCAGGCTCTCAGGTGAGCGCCCTCGGCTCCTACTGATGGCACCGTGCAGGCTTCTGGCAGGGCTGGAAAGATGGTGCAGGGGCTGGTCATGCCAGGCAGCTCCAGAAACACTCAGAACCCGGGCCAGGGATGGTCATTACTAGAAAACGTCTGCAGCTGGCTGGTGCTCACTGCAAACATCAACAGAACCCAAACACAACAAGCAGCGTTGTGCACTTTCAATGCTGAAACAAGCGTTCACACGCACACACACACATGCGCACACACAGTAACACATGCAAACACACCCCAACTAAACACACGTGCATACGCATGCACACACAGCAACTGAACACATCCAGTGTCTGACCTTTGGAACCAATTTAAAAACCCGCCCACACCAGATGTGAACGGTGGCCATTTCAGGGACTCCCTTGGTCTTTCTGAACAAACATCTGTTCCTTCCTTTTCTCAGCAGGAACAGACGCCGATAGACATGTGCAGGGCGGCCCAGTGAGTGGCCCTGGCTGGTTCGGGCCCCGGCCTCCCTGCTGGACTGAGCTCCAGGCGCCTGGTGTATGACGGTCTTCCTGAGCTCCAGCTGTCCCAGCATCGCACGTCCCCCTCCAGGCCCCCACGCAGGCGCTGTGTGCAGCTCTCCTGTGTGCTTTCTTATTTACTCTGAGGCCATAGGTCGGGGACTGCCTGCCACACCCACGTGAGGAGACGAGGGCCGGGAGCCCAGGGCTTCCACTGTGAGGATGCAGACAGGAGCTCGCAGCCCTCGGAGTCCCGGGCGGACGCTGGTGGCACACTCACACTGCAGTGGAGGGAGGTGCCCCGAGCTGAGGTTTGCTGATTTTGCATAGCAATTTAAAAATATCAACCACTACTTCCCTGACACTGACAGCTTGTGCTCTAGAAACGCAGTGGTGTTACCGGTCACCTCATCGGACGCCCACAGGCAGGTGGGTTTTCCCTGGAGGAAATCGCCCTGGGCGGCGCGGTGGTCTGCAGTGCCCGCCTCCTTGTCTCTCCTGACAGACTCCTCCCAGGAGAGGGGGGATGTGAAGCCACACCCTGGCAGGCAATGACAGAGCCCACAGCCAATGGTCTCGAGGGCTGGGTGTGGGTATATCCCACCTCCAGGCACCTGGACCCCGGCCTGAGGTTATGGAAGGGTCAGAGCTTTGGGACTGAGCTTGGAATTTGGTTGTATAAACTGCCCAAACAAATCAGATTGGAAAGCTTCCTGTGAGCCCTGCTAGGTCTCTAGAACCATCCTTCTCAGGGGTTTCTGTGTTGCACAGGGCAGCCCGGTGAATGGACGGTGTGGCAGGGACTCCACTCCCATCCTGGGCTCCCGCAGAGACTCGCCCCACACTCTGCCCGGCCCCCTGCCCCCGGGCCATGAGCAGGAGCCCCCTCCTGCCGGCTCACCAAATGTGATCTTCCCCTTCTCCTCCTCGTCAATGGCTCGGAACAGGTCAGTCACGGTGAGCTCTGCCACCCCTAGGGCTGTCTTGAGGATGCAGGACAGGTCGCCTTCGCCGACACTGCCATCTTCCTGCGCCCCGTACACCTGCAAGGCAAGCTAGGGGTCACCTTGCGGCCTCCTCCCTGCCCACCAGGCCCCACTGTCTGGGGTGCTCTTTAGTCCAGGGATACCCCAGCAGCCCTGCCCCACTTTCTTAGAGCGCTGGGTAAGGTCAGCAGCTGGACCCGGGGGGCTTGAGCTTCAGCGTGGAGCCACGCAGCAGGCCCTGTGCCATGGACCCGGCCCTGCCACCAGGTGCCTCGTGGACCCGACCCTGCATCTTGGCTGAGGACTCAGACGCTGCCCACCCCACCCGTCACAGCTCAGCAAACCAATCAGCACCTGGGGCTGCCGCTGGGAGGCCGCAGAAGGGCCCCGCCTGGGCCATGAGGGCTGCAGTCTCCCCACAGCCCTCCTGTGTGAGTGCAGGCTACAGTGGACGTTCACAGACATCAGAACGTTAACAAACTCCGATGGCTAGAAATCCACAGGCCAGATGCAGGAGCAGAAATGAGATGGAACCTGGGAGGGAGGGGAGGGCCCCAGGGGGAGCGGGAACCAGGATCTGCGCGCTCTCCTGAGCCTCACACGTGACGCCTCCTCTCCTCCTGCTCCAACTGTGGAGGCAGCAGCTCTGGCCTGCTCTCCTGCAGGGTCCAGGCACCTGCCACCCGCCCCCCACAACTCCACAGTGCTCCCCTCCCTTGCTTCACAGGGACTTTGTGACCCAGGAATCCCCCAGACCCCTTGCTCAGGGCCCACCTGTCCCTCTGCCCCCTTTGGGGTGCAGGGGTCCCCAGCCCTTGAGGCTCCCGCTTGGCCCACAGCTCTGCGGCGGCTCTTTCTTCTTGTGTCCCCTCAGTCTAAACCCTGGGCTCCCTCCGACCCCTCTGTGACCCTTGGCGGAGAGCCTCTGTCGTTGCCCCCAGTCGTCTACCTGGGGTGGCATCATACCCCGCCGCCTTCTCTCTGCCTGGGGCCTGTGGTTCCTGGGGCTCCCAACGCACCCTCGACGGGGAGGGCGCCCCGGCTCCGAGCCCCCTAGTCCCCGTCTCCGCTCCAGCATGCTGTGATCTTGTGACTGCATGTGAGGGGCGCTGGCCGCTCTTCAGGGAGGGGCTGCACCTTCTCCTCACCTGGCGCCTCCTGGTGCTCAGGGAAGAGATACCGGGGCCTCTGGCCTGCCGCCTGGCAAGCCCTGTCCCAGGGATGGCACCCTCTTCCTGGGCTCTGCCTCTGCCCTGTGGACAGGGTCTGCTGCAGGCTCTGGGGGCCCCGTCCTCACCCTCGACCCTCCCTACTCAGCCCCACCCCACAGCACCTACGCACACGGCCAACGTGTCTTCCCAGGTCTGTGTTTCTCTCCTGCTTTTAGATTTCCTGAATCAAATATCTGCAGACAAGAGCCACGTTGGTGCTGCTGGAGCCTCAGAACAGGCCAGGCCAAACCCTCAGGGCCACGGGCTCCTGCTCTTTGGCCAACCTGGATCCCACTCAGTCCCCAGGGAGCAGGGCCTCCCGCCTCCCGCTGTGGCCTCAAGGCTGCCTTGGAGAGGTGACCTGACATCGGGGTCCGTTTGGACACAGAACCGCAGCCGCGGACTTCCATCCTCGGAGCAGCGGGAAACACGGACAGGCGGCACGGAGGCCACCACGGGTGACGCGGACGGCAGGTCCTCCTGCCACCCTGAGCTGCTGGGATTTCTACCAGGACGTCCTAAGGTTTTACACAGTGACAATAATGACGAAGAACAAAAACAAGGGGCCCCAAGGCGTAGGAAGCGCGTCTGCGCGGGTCTGGAGCGTGTGTCCCTGGGTCCCCGGTGCTAGCCGTTCTGTGTCCACAGTCAGCCTGGGAGGCAGCTTCCTGGGTCTCTGCATCCCAAGAGCAGCACGCTGGTGCGGTGATCATGCTCCTTCAAAAGAGAGTGCTCCATGGAAGCACTTCCTGCTACACGCAGCACCCCCAAATGTGCCAGGGTCCCGCGGCAGCAGAAAAGCACTGTGGCCGTGACTGTAGGGAATGATGACACCACAGAAGGTACAGGCTGCAGGCAAGGGCACGGGGAGGCGGCCTGCCAGGTGAGAGGAAGGCAGGTGAGCTGACAAGTGCCAGGGCGTCTGCCGTTGGGGCGGAGCTGCTGCGGGTGCAGGTGAGGCGGGACGTTGGAGTCCCCGCGGGGACGCAGCCAAACCGGCCGACCTGGGAGCCCGTGAGAGCTGATCACTCATCCTGCCCCTAGGTGGTACCTGCAGGTCAGCCCGGGCCTCACCTATCGCCTGGTTCACCTGAGAAAGAGACCTCCCAGCGGCACGTACTCCACCCTGAGTAGGGACAGGTGGGCACCATCCTCCCGAGCGGGTGTCCTCAACCCCACCACGCCAGTTACCCTGCCTGCCTGCAGGTGGGGCCTCTGCAGCACCAGCCCGGAGGACACTCGGGCCCCACGGCCCCCACGGCCCCCACGGCCCATTGTTTATGATGAGAAACGAGGCAAGTGTCAACCCCACCGCTGCTGCTGTCATTCTGTTCCAGAGTCTACTTGGTGGCTTTAGAGCAGGGGCTGGTGGGACCAGCAGAACAGGCGCGGTGGCTCGAGCCTGTAATCCCAGCACTTTGGGAGGCTGAGGTGGGCCGATCACCTGAGGCCAGGAGTTTGAGACCAGCCCGACCAACATGGTGAAACCCTGTCTCTTCTAAAATTACAAAATTTAGCCGGGTGCCATGGCACGAGCCTGTAATCCAGCTACCCAGCAGGCTGAGGCACAAGAATCGCTTGAACCTGGGAGGCAGAGGTTGCAGTGAGCCGAGATCGTACCACTGCACTCCAGCCTGGGCGACAGAGTGAGACTCCCTCTCAAAAACATTAAAAACAAAACAGGGTGTGGTGAAAGCGGGGCCAGCGGGGTCCGTGAGGCCACAGGGCCTGGCCCAGAGCAGGACCCCTAGCAGGCAGCCTGCCCAGGCCTAGAGGAGAGGTTGGTTGGGATTTCTTACACGGGGCTGTCAATTGTTGAGGTCATCCAGTTCATCCTGCCTGGTGTGACCCCTACAAGCCACCTTTGCATGTGGGGACATGGTCCCGTGTTGCTACGGAGAGGGTGTGCTGGGGTCAGAAGTGAGAGAAGGGAGTTCTTGGAGCAGTGAGGGACAAGCAGCTTCCTGCCTCACACATCAGGCCCTCGAGAGTCTGGCTAATGTGTAGTCACACCCTGTGAGAAGGCCTGGTAAAACTGCCTCTGTTTAGGCAAAGCCAGCCCAGCTCTGTCCCAGACGAAATCCATACTGGTGGTGCTGGAGCCTCAGAACAGGCCAGGCCAAACCCTCAGGGATACTCGGTCCTCCTGCTCTCCAGGCCTGATCCAGACCCCACTCAGCCCCCGGGAGCAGTGACTCCCTCCCCATACCCCCCGCAGTGAGGGAAGTCCTGAGGGCTTCCCAGGACTCTGCAGCTGGGCTGGCACCCCAGAGTCGCCCGGTGGTCAATGACTGGGCTCTGACGTGTCACGGCCCGTGGGGTTAGCTGAGGCAGGCAGCTCCTGAGCCATGCTTGCTTTATAGTCCATAGTCTGGGAGGGAGAGAAGACGGGACGTGTGGGCCCATGTTAGATGCCCTGTGGCACCACCAGCCCCACCCAGGTGCCCCAGGACCCAGGAGGAACCTCAGCCACGCCTTTCTGATGAGTTTGAATTGCTAAATCCAGAAAGAAATAAATCTGGGAGTGTTTTGGGCATTTCACAAACCATAGCTAGCATAAGCTTATGTAAAAACAGCATCTAGAAAAATGACCAATTAACTGATACTATGAGGGACTAGAAGCATGAAGAGCCGTGCTGACATGACCACACATGAACAATCAAACCCACGTGAACTCTGCACTCACCTGGAAAGCCAGCTGGATGGTGTCCAGCGTCCGGGCCGGCCGGCAGACGACAGACAGGGCCACCACACACTCCCGCAGGTCCACCTTGCCGTGGCCGCTCTGTGGGGAGAGACACTGTCAGCCACTGCTCGGCCGCCGCCTTTGGCACTGGAGAAACGCTGGGGTTTCCCACGGGTCCCAGTGTTAATGAAGGGCCAGTGCTGCTCTCACCTGGGAAAGGGAACTTTGGAAAGACATCTGACCTAGTGGGTTCTCTGAGGTCCCTGTGCTGTGTACACTTTTGGGGGCCATTACAACGAATTCCCAAAGTTCACCAGGCTGCCACAGGGAGTCTCAGCAGAGCATGCAGAACACGTTGCCTGCCACCTGCCGAGACTTGCATTTGAGAAAACCCAGCAAGCACCAAGACTGGCTGTGGGCTCTAGGAAGTGAGTCTGTTTATGGCAACACATCCATCCTTCAGAAAGAAGGTGAACCCGGAGCTATGACGTGGAGCTAACACACAGCCCGGCTGAGCCAGCTGTGGACGCCGGCCAGCCCCGTGCTGACCACTCTCAGTAATTCCACACACTCAGAGTCTCCAAGGGACATGTCGATGGAAATGAGCAGGGTGTGGAGAGGCACGGAGGGGCTACAGGGTGCACCCAGGCTGCAGGAAAGAACCCTGCAGGTCAGAGCGGGAGGAGGTGAGGAGCACCCTGGACAAGGGGAGGACTCTCTGGCCAGAGAGCAGGTGAGGAGCACTCGGGGCAGGGGGAGGACTCTGGCCAGAGAGCAGGTGAGGAGCACCCAGGAGCAGAGGGAAGCCTCCCTGGTCAGACAGCAGGAGGTGAGGGGCACCCAGGAGCAGAGGGAAGCCTCCCTCGTCAGACAACAGGAGGTGAGGAGCACCCAGGAGCGGAGGGAAGCCTCCCTCGTCAGACAGCAGGAGGTGAGGAGCACCCAGGAGCGGAGGGAAGCCTCCCTCGTCAGACAGCAGGAGGCAAGGAGGACCCAGGAGCGGAGGGAAGCCTCCCTGGTCAGACAGCAGGAGGCGAGGAGCACTCAGGAACAGAGAGGTTGGGCTCTGACCAGTAGTGCTCTTTGCTTGTGTCAACTACAGGCCACAGGTGCTGGAGGTGAGGGGCATGCAGGTCCCTGAGGCTCTTCTGAGGGAACTGGCAGCTTTCTTTGTGCTACGCCACACCCCTTGCAAGGCATGGGGTAGTGGGACTCGGGCTTGGGAACCCGGCAGGTGGAGTTCCTATCAAAGCCAATGACGACAAGTCCCCGGCTCTGGGAAGGTCTTGGGTGGAGGGTCTGAGGTCCTGGGTGTGAATGGAGACTATACCTACCTCGTAAAATCATGTGCATTTGAAACTGCAGAAAACAAAAAATCAACTGCACGGTGTCCTGAGTGAGTCAGGATGCTGCCTGTGAAACCCGTATTCACTATTTCGCGTTTCGGTTCCAACACTGCGGTAAACGGGCTGAGTGCAAACGCAGCCCAGGCTGTGGGTGGGCACGGAGGGCTCCCACCTGAGACTCTGTTTCCCGCTGCGCGTGTCTGAGGCCCGTGGCCGGGAGCACGGGAGGAAATACCCCAATGTGACCGGGTGTGCAGCGAGGGGTGGTTTCTCTTCTCTGCTTTCAAACGCGTGTGAAAATACTTCTATTAGAACAACGTCTACTCCACAAAGCAGGAGGTTCTGCCGAGACCCGCTCCCTACCTCGTCGAACAGGGAGAACATGTCTTCCAGCAGGTCGGACGCGGGGACTCCCAGGAAGGCCGCGAACTCCGAGATGCCAACCTTCTCTCCTCCCTTCACCCTGGCACTTGCGGAGTATTTGTCCAGATCTTTTTCAAGCTTTTCTGGTTTGAGCCTAGACAAAAAAAGAGGGAAAGCTTTCTTTTTAAATAAAATGTCAGTACGCGAACACTAGATTTAGTTATAAGACTCACCACAATATTAGCATTATTTAATAGGTAGCAACAAGTTAGTTTTCCAGAAAAGCCTTCCTATTGAAAGGTGTGAGAGGGGTTTGACCCACGTGTCCAGCCAGGTGCCTGTGCCCCTGACACCCATTTCCCTCCCAGGGCATGTGGGTGGGAAACCCCACAAATGCCAGGCAAGGGTCTGAAGCCTCAGCCTGTTCCCATATGGATATGGAACTAGAAAAGAATTAAGAGACATAGCTACCTAGTTATTCCTATATATATAACCATATATAGTCAGTTATTCACATATAATATGTATACTCAATACAACCTTTTGAGTCTACTAAGGATTATCGGGTTATGAAGCACGGAACTGAGGTGACAATGTGAACAAAGTGATCCTAGGGCAGGGCGTTCTAAGCCCTCTGTCAGGCCTGCGTAAGGGCTGCTGGAGGGCGCCTCAGCTGTGCGGCAGCGCCAGAGCCCTGGGAAAGCGCCCGCTGTTTAGCCAGCTAGGGAAGGAGATGTCCAAGACGTCCGAGACGTCTCCTTCCCTGAGGGAGTCAGGAGGAAACTCTGCCCCTCCAAGCTCTTGCGGTCAAGGCCCGACGGCTGTGGGGGAGGCCCGCAGACATCGGGGCGTAACTGTCTCTGTGTGACGCTGTGCTTCGGAGGTCACGTCCCCTGTCCACTCTCACGCTCTGCTTCTGCACCTGGCTAATCTTTTTCTTAAAAGAAAAGAATCAGTAGTAGTTACATAAATCTTAATGTCTTTGTTCTTTCTTGACAAGTCTGGAAAAAGCGCTGACCCGTTATGCTCCTTACCTCATCTCGGCTACTTGAAAGTCCCGGGCCCCCAACCCTAAGACACGTGATGTCCCTGACCCTACCACTGACCACCATGACCTCACCCCACCCGCCCTGCCCCCTGCTGTGTGCTGAATAAAAGTCAGAGCGTGCGCACACTCGGGGCCACGGCCGGACTCCGCGCTTTGGTGGGCAGTGGACCCTGTCTCTGTGTCTTGTGTCTTTCATTTCTACAGTTTCTCATCTCCACACCAGCTGAGAGGGGCTCACAGGACTCTGTAGGGCTGGACCCTATGAGGGCGGGCCTTGCAGGACACAGGGTGGCCTCCTGGGCACCATCCACACAGACAGCTGATGCCAAGCATTGAAGGATTTAAAGGCCCTCTGTAGGCTGAAGTGGATGTTTGAGAGAAGCCAAAGAAAAGCCACAATAAACACTGTCAAGAATTATTTCTGTAGCTCCCTGCCATGCAACCCGAGTGCCCTGCCACACCGTGGCAGTAGTGGTTCTAGCTAATGCTCAAGGAAGCATCACCAGGCACTTACCCAAGGCCCCGCACGAGCCTGGCGAATTCTAAAAGGCAAGTGTCAGCTGGGAGACGGAGCTGTCCTTCCGCCAGGGCCAGCTGGCAGTCCTCGAACGTGTAGTCAGTCACGGAGACGCCCAGGGCTCTGCAAGAGAGGGCAGCACACCCTGTCAGCCCAGCCCCGCGGCGGCTGGCTCCCCCTGCCTCCCCTCCTCCCCCCAGTAGCTACAACAGATGGCTGTAGGCCTGGCTGCGTGTCTGCGGCACAGACATGGAGTGACCTGCTGGTCAGCAGGTCACTACCTGCCTGTGCCCGAAGGAGAGCTCAGGGTGATGGGAGGGGATGGCAAAAAAAACTACAGCGTACCCCCTCCACAGGGCACCAGCTCCCACGTGGGCCTCTCCCGAACCAGCCATGACAACTGAAATCCCTGCACTGGCCGCTGACCACCTGTTGCTTCTGCTCTGAGGCCACCACTGTGTCGACACCATGGAGCTGTCCGTTCAGGAGAATGTGGGCATTTTAAGAGCTGTTTCCTCTCCCTGTGGAGGCTGGACAGAGGTGGCTTCACCACCCAGTAAAGCATACTTTCACTGTTTCTGGGTTTTTATTTTGTAGCCTACACAAAATATTCTTTTTAAGTTAAACACTAAAAAAGAAATGAATATGGGTCCCGGCGGAGGCCAAGGTGAAAGTGAATGCTGTGACTTCAACAGGTTTCCCAAGAATAGAGATTACCCATGGCTATTACAGAACTGAGCCACATCTGCATGGAAAAGCCCATCAGGGCTCAGCGGAGCCCTGGACATTCAGAAACAAAATAAACCATCCACAAATAAGGAGAAAAGCAACAGGAAGACCTTTACAAACTGACCTGAAGGACAAAACGTGCAAAGGTACATCTGACCAACAGGCAAGTCCTTTTCAGCTCTGGCTTGCAGGGGTTCCTTACCCAGTGTCAATCCCTACCCCAGCCTTCTTCCTTCCCGCCCGCACCGAGGGCAATCTGCAGCCACTCCAACAGAACAGGTACCGGCAAGGGAGGAAGCGGAGCTGGAAGTCGACTTTCCTCTTGGAATGAATCTGCGACAAGGCTGGATGAGAGGAAGCTCCTGGAAACACAGGCTTGGACCCCCTCCCCCACCTGACCCCAGGCTCTGCCTGGCTCTAACCACACATGCAGGCCCCTTTTCTGTTTAACCGAGCTGAGTGCAGGGGCCAGGGTCAGGCTCCACTTCCCTGGGCCATTCAGGAAAAGCTACTTTCCTCTTTGGGTGGAAGGAGAGGATGGGCATCTGGCCGGCCCTTCTGTGGTCCCCACCTGAATGAGGTGCCTCTTGCTCCTGCCTGGAGAAAGGAGGGAGCATTGGCTTCGGGCAGGAGATGCAGCACTTATACCTGCAGCCTTCACACGGGGACCTCTTCCCCAAGCCCTGCGGGGACGAGAGGCTTCTCCTGCAAGCACCCCTGCAGTGGGCTCAGGGTCACTGGGTTCCCAATGCACTAAAGGTGCACCCGCATTTGCTGCCTGCAGGGCTCAGGGTCACTGAACTCCCACTGCACTAAAGGTGCACCCGCATTTGCTGCCTGCAGGGCTCAGGGTCACTGGGCTCCCACTACACTAAAGGCGCACCCGCATTTGCTGCCTGCAGGGCTCAGGGTCACTGGGCTCCCACTGCAGTAAAGGCACACCTGCATTTGCTGCCTGCAGGGCTCAGGGTCACTGGGCTCCCACTGCACTAAAGGTGCACCCGCGTTTGCTGCCTGCAGGGCTCAGGGTCACTGGGCTCCCACTGCACTAAAGGTGCACCTGCATTTGCTGCCTGCACGGCTCCCATTACGTGCCTCATGCACAACCACTCCTAAACTGAAAACCGGCAAGCTGCACGCCCTGCCATCCTGACAGCAATAGGGCCCCTTGGAGAGGACGGCCCACTCTGCAGCCGGCCTCTGAAGGAGACCCTCCCTGACCTTCACAGGAACAGAGGTCATTTCTCTCAGTTGGCACCACTCTGAAGTCAGAACTCAGCCCTTCTATGGAGTTGCATCAGGTTTCATGAAAATAATCTTTTCCTGACTTTTAAATTAAAATACAAAACAAAACAAAATCTCCATTGAGAAATTCCTGTAATTCCTGGGCTTTAAAAACTGTCCCTAACACAGGCAAATTGTGGAGATACGGTGGGTTCTAGATCATTGTGATAGGGAGTCACACGACACTTCTGGTTGCCCAGTGCATATAAAAGTTACGTCTAGTACAATTACTGTAGTCTATTAAGTGTGCAATAGCGCTATGTCTAAAAAATGTATATGTCTTAATCTAAAAGTAGTTAATCACTGAAAACGCTACTGATCATCTGGGCCTTCAGCAAATTGGAGTCTTTTTGCTGGCAGACGGTTTTGGCCATGCTGATGGCTGCTGACCGATCAGGGTGGTAGCTGCTGAAGGCTGGGGTGACTGTGGCAATTTCTTAAAGTAAGACCCCAGTAAACTTGACTGTATTGATTGATTCTGCCTATAATGAAAAATTTCTGTGTAGCATGTGATGCATTTTGATAGCATTTTACCCACAATAGAACTTCTTCCAAAATTAGTCAATCCTCTCAAACCTTTCTATTTCCCAACTAGGTTTAATTAACATTCAAAATCCTTCGCTGCCATCTCAACAACGTTCCCAGCGTCTTTACTAGGAGCAGGTTCTGCGTGAAAGAACCACTTTCTTTGCTCATCCATTAGAAGCGATTCCTCCTGTGCTCATGTTCCGACCCGAGGCTGCAGCAATGCAGCTCCACCTTCAGGCTCCACTTCGGATTCCAGCTCTCTTGGTGTTCCCACCACACCTGCAGTTGCTTCCTTCATGGAAGTCTCGAAGCCTTCAAAGGCATTCATGAAGGTTGGAATGAACCTCTTTCAAACTCCTGCTCTTGTTGATATTTTGACCTCCTCCCATGAATCATGAATATTTTTAATGGCATATAGAACGGTGAATGCATTCCAGAGGTTTATGGTACACTTTGTGGCTACAGCCTGAATCCTAAGACTTGAAAGTTGAAACTCCTTGGCTCCTTGGGCTGTGGGACGGGTGCTGTGCTAGCAGGCATGGAAACAACCTTCACCTCCTTGTTCACTGTTAGCAGAGCTCTTGGGTGACCAGGTGCATTGTGAGTGAGCAGCAGTATTTTGAAAGGAGTCTTCTTTTCTGAGCAGTAGTTCTCAAGAGTGGGCTTAAAATATTCAGTGAACCATGCTGTAAACAGACATGCTGACATCCAGGCTTTGTTGTTCCATCTGTAGAGCAAGGCCGAGTAGACTGAGCAGGGTTCTTGGGGACCCTGGGATGTTCAGAATGGTCTGTATGCATCAGCTTCCACTGCCAAGTCCCGGCAGCACCAGCTCCTAACAAGAGAGCCAGACTGTCCTTTGAAGCTTTGAAGCCAGGCGTTGACTTCGCCTCTAGCCAGGGACGTCCTAGGTGGCGCCTTCTGCCAGTAGAAGGCTATTTTATCTATGCTGAAAATCTGCTGACTAGCAAAACCACCTTCATCAATGGGCTTAGCCAGAATGCGTGGATTACCTGCTGCTCCTCCGTCAGCCCCTGCTGCTTCACTTGCCCTTTCATGTTATGGAGACAGCTTTTTTCCTTAAACCTCATGAACCCACCTCTGCCAGCTTCAGGCTTTTCTTCTGTAGCTGTCTCAGCCTTCACAGAACAGAGTTCGGGCCTTGCTCTGGATTAGGCTTTGGCTTAAGGGGATGTTGTGGCTGGTTTGAGATTCTATCCAGACCACAAAAACTTTCTCCATGTCAGCGATAAGGCTGTTTTTCTTTCTTATTACTTATGTGTTCACTGGAGCAGCACTTTTAATTTCCATCAAGAACTCTCCCTTCACATTCACAACCTGGCTAACTGGCACGCAGCCCATCTTGGCTTTCAACCTCCCTTCCTCACCAAGCGTAATCATTTCTAACTTTTGATTTAAAGTGCGAGACAATGGCTCTTCCTTCCAGCCGAGCACTTAGAGGCCACTGTCGGCTTGTCAGTTGGACTGATTTCAATACTGTTGTGTCTCGGGGAGAGGAAGGCCTGAGCAGAGGCAATGAGACAGGGGAACTGCCAGTTGGTGGGGCGGCCGCACATGTATTGATTAGCTTCCTCTCATACGGGGGCAGTTCACGGTGCTCTAAAACAACCACAATCGTGAGACCCACGGTCGCTGATCACAGGCTGCTGTGACACGAACATTGTGAAACACTCTGAAATATTGTGAGAATTACCCACATGTGACGTGGAGATGCAAAGTGAGCTCATGGCATGTGAAATACCAACACGTGACCCAGAGCCACCAAAGTGAGCTCACGGCGCTGGAAAATGGCACTGACAGCCTTGCTCGGCACAGGGATGCCACAAACGCAAAGTAACTGACGCTCAGGAACACGAGTCAGAGTGAAGCAGGCACCCTCACTCCCCTGCGGCCCTGACCGGGCTGTGTGTGTTCAGGGAACGAGAAATCAGTGCCTTTCCATTCCTATTAGACAGCCGCCAGCGTTCCCCTTGGCATCATTTGGGAACAGGAGCGTCTCATGCTATCCATAGGAAAGAAGGACAAGGACAATGGAGGGGCTGCCCAGGAAGCTCGCGGCAGTCCTGGCCCCGCCACGTGTGATCCCAGACGGGCCAAGGGACAAGGAGCCCCGGCTGGGAGAACCACCCACGTCACCTCCACCTGCCACTGGGCCATCCTCGGCCTCTCCTGATGAGCCCATCCTGGGTGGCACCTCTCTCCAGGCCGGTACGGCACGTGTGTCATTCACCTCAGGACCCTGAATGACACAGAGGCCAGCCCCATCCCAAATGAAAACCAAGGTTGGGGAAGGATGTGTGCGCTCTGCCACCCTGGGGTGCCACCGTCCTTGCAGCGGGTAGGGGAGGAGAGTGTGCTCCCCACACTGCCTCCCAGGACTCGCTACAGGAGTGGGAAACTCGATGGCAGGAGGCACTGCCAGGGTCTCTCTGCTCTTCAACAACTCCACTCCCCGAGCGGGGCAGGCCCAGGAGCCTGAGGCTGTGTCTCCCTCCCACGTTCCCTGGTGAGGGTTTGGCTGATGGCAGCAGACCCTCCAAGAGCCCTGATGTGATGAAACATGGCTCCCAGTATTTGGAGTGGGGTTTTAAGAGAATTCTGAATTACAACAATGGAAATGGGGTCACTCTTGCCACCTAAAAAACCGTGCAAGATCCTCGGAGTCCGTTTGGAATGAAGGGCTCCTAAATAATCAGTGAGGCCCATCAGCGATCTCTCCTTGAGTGAACGCATTCCCCTGGCTCTGTGCCTGCTCTGCTATTTCTATTGTTCAAAGCTGCCTGTGGCGGGGTTGCGTGGAACTTTGGGAGACAGACTGCCACACCCATTTCTACCCTCGGGCATAACTGCTGGGAGGGAGGGGGCAGGAACATGGGAGAAAGGGCCACCCAGATGAATCTGCAAGGTGCCAGGTGCGTGTGAACAAAGTGACTCGGAAGTTGGAGCTGAGCACACTCTGACGGGCCCCGTGGTGGCTGCGTCTCCCCTGGGCTCTCTGGAGAGTCAAGTTCCCAGCCATGCCCAGACCTGCTGCAGCAAGAGCCTGGGGGTGGGGCCGGTGGACTGAGGTTGAGGCAGCTTCCAGGTGGCTACTGTGGCTCAGGTCTGGCAGCCACCTGGGGGAGGGGAGGCTGGACAGGGCCGTGCAGGAGGAAGCACTGGGGTAAACCCAGGTGGGAGGACCTGGCTGCAAGGACAAGTGTGGAGGGAAAGGGACAGTGAGGAATGGAAGGTGCTGAGGAGGAGAGAGGGAGAGTGTGGGCTGACGGCACTGCCGGCCATGCAGGGGAGCCTGGGATCACGGGATGCGAGGACCCTCCCTCTCTTCCTAACTGCATGCACAAGGATCGTGTGAGGAGCACCGGTCACCTTACAAGATTAGATGTGCAGCCACCACTCCACCCTGCCAGACATAGTAAGGGCACTGGGAAGTGACCCACAGGCAGGTGAGCAAAGGCAGGCGTGGAAGCTGCCGCTCAGCTCTGACCTCCGCCCAGGCCAGCGCCCTGTGGGATCGTTTAGGTGCACAGGGAACACAGGACCTGAGGAGACCAACAGCTGCAGGCAGGTCTGGAAGGATCAGTCATGTGTCTTCCGAACATCGGAGAGGGTGAACGTCATCAGATGAGAACAAGGGATGCTCAGCACAGGCCAAGCAGCCTCACAGACACGTGAGGGCTGGTTCCCGTGCTTCTGCAAGAACGTCTTTTCCTAGCGCTGCTGGCTATTTTAAATACAGAGAGCAACACTCTGGGAGACGCCCCTCACCAAGTGACGCAGGAAGGAGCTGCTCACTTACTCGGCCATGACTCGCCGCACGTTGCTGGCATACAGCGCAGGGTTCCTCTTCTCCTCCTCAGAAGGGCTGTACACAGGAAGGAACTGAGCACACAGAGAAGCTGCGTTACTTCCACAGTATCATGAGACGCTGACCTCAGCGACGCCACCACAATGACAATTGGGAGTCTGACAAAATTAAGATCTGTCAAAGCAACGACCATTAGAACCATCTTCAAAGCTGTCATGTGCACACGTGTATGCACACTCACCCCAAAAATGAGGTGTGAACTGCATGTGTGCACCTGAACACAGCCCATGATGCGTGAGCCACACACGTGTGCACCTGAACACTGACCCCATGATGTGAGCCGCACATGTGCACCTGAACACTCACCCCATGATGCGTGAGCCGCACACGTGTGCACCTGAACACTCACCCCATGATGTGTGAGCCGCACATGTGTGCACCTGAACATTCACACCGCCAGTGCCCCTTAGGAGCACCTGCTGCCCACACTGGGCAAGCTGTTTTATGAAATATTTAAGTTGTACGTGACTCATCTTTCAACACCCTGCTCCCTAACCTCACAGAGGGGCTTATGCCCATTTCTCACAGTTCCGGTTTTGTGGTGGGGACAGCACAGTGCCTCATTCCTAAATTTGGAATAGACTACTGGCAGCTTTTGCCACCTCCTCCATTTTGAAATTAAAAGAAATTGTCCAATGAACCTCTCCTTGCCTGAATGGCGCTTCCACGGCATTTTAAATGACCACGACACACAGTGCACACCACACCATCCCGGATGTCCTTTTCCCTAACACGGAAGAGCTGACAAGACAGGAGCGCCCTGAAACCCAGGTTGTCACTGCTGTCTCTCGAAACTCCGCACACAGCCGCGGCTCCACGCAGCAACACCAGCATCTCGAGTGAACGACATGAGTAGGGGCAGAGCCATTCTGCAAAGCCATTCAGTTTCCTTCCAACTCTTAAAATTAGAAACCAGCCTGTAACACAGCCGTTTAACACCAGGGTGCCCTCGGGAACTCACAGGCTGTGTTTTGGCCTTGAGGCCTGGCTTACACCCTTCTGGCCACCATCCACCCAGCCACATAAACCTGTGGTCATGGTGGCTGCCACCCGAAGGCCCGGGCCAAGGCCTTTCAGCTTAGTCCTCCGTAATGAGAGCAGCTTGTCCTCTATGAAAGTGAACAGCTGGGCCGAAAGCCCCGCTCATCTGTATATTTTGTAGCACTGTGCAATATTTATTGGAAGGCAGCAAATTGTTTTGTTAAATATTTAAGTTGCACGTGACTCATCTTTCATTTCTAGATTGAAGAAGTGCATATTAATTCCCCTTTTAAACAAAAAGAACTACTCTTCATCGGCTTAGATACAATTTTGCAGGCTACATAGAGGTCATGACTCTAGAGACCTGGGACAGGCTGAGAAGGGGGATCTTTGACCATGTATTAAACAGAGCATGGTGCTATGACACACTCAGCAGTATTAAATATGTACAGTAAAACTAAAAGCCAAAAAGATAGTTCACTGCATGTGGACCGGCTTCATGTGCCCTTAAGCTACAATACCCATAATAAAGAATGGTAGATTTAAAAAATCCTATCTAGCTGGGTATAGTAGTTCACGCCAGTGATCACAGGGGAGGGGCCGAGGAACGAGGATCGCTTGAGCCCAGGAGTTTGAGACCAACCTGGGCAACAAAGTAAGACCCGTCTCTACAAAAGCAAGCAAGCAAACAAACAAAAAACAAAACAAAACAACAAAAAAATTAGCTGGGCACGGTGGCATGTGCCTATGGTCCAATTACACGGAAGGCTGAGGTAGGGAGATCACTTGAGCCCAGGAGGTTGAGGCTGCAGTGAGCCCATCAGTACACTCCAGCCTGGGCAACAGAGCAACACACACACACACACACACACACACACACACACACACACACCCCAAACAAAAAACAAAAGCCCAAATCTTATCCAAGTGGTTACTTTACATCAATGTAAAGCAACCAGAGGCTCCTCCTGAGACAGGAAGCAAGACAGATGACATGTCACATTTCCAAGGCTTCTCTGGGCATCCTGGGGAAACCCCGCGTCTGTATGAAGCACTGTGAGGAGCCCCGTGGAACACTGTATCCATACGAACCTCAATTTCCACTTGATTGTGAAACTGACACAGCGTGAGCCACAGGATTTCCAACCTTAAAAACAGATTGAGCAATGTGAGCAGACATAGAGCACAGGCTAAGAAACACATTACTTCCAATTCCGGGGCAAAACCTCCAGACGCGCCCCCTCTAGAAGGCGCTGCCGGGCAGTGAAGGCTCCCGTGGCGGGGGTGCTGTGCCCGCCCAGCCTGAGCCCCAGTGTGAGGCAGAGCCATGGGTGGAAACGCTGCTCTTCTGATTCACCAGCTGCTTGTGTCTTCCGTGCGTCTAGCAAGACATCGTTTCCTGCGTGTTCTCCAGCTCAGGAGACCTCGTGCGGCCCACCCCTGTCCCTCCTTGCCGTCCCCAGGCAGCCCAGGCCCTAAGTCATGCCACCCCTCCAGCCTGGCTCCAGAGTTCCCAACCTCAGAACTGGGTTGCCCTGCCTTTGCTGCAGGAGTTGGAGCGGGAGACGTCCAGAGTTGCATCCCAGGGACACACTCACGCCCCAACAGACAGCCCACCTCGTCTCAGCCCCAACCCTGTTTCTGCCCTGTCATGCCAGCCCTAGCTCTAGGCCCCAGGCCCCAGGGACCCCAGAGTCCCCATTCCCACAGAGCCCCTTCGCAGCTCTGCTCCCAGCCGGGAGCCTCCACACACCAGCCTGGGAAGCGCTGACCCCAACGCCTTCACCTGAACACACCAATGGACCCACGTCCTCCCCAACACCCGGGGCGGACCTGCTCCCTCGTGGCCCTCCCCCCTCCCTCTGCCCTCCCCTGATGAGACTGTGACCCTGGGCTGCTTCTCTGTGGCTCCTTCCTGTTTCCACGGGGTTGTTAACCATTGCATAACTGATCTTCCGGGTCTGTGCTGGGGGCTCAGGGACACTGACTGCAGCAGGGGCTGGCCTCCCACCCGGCACTACGCAGTCCCTCCACCTGTGCAGATGGGGTCCCACCAGACAGCCCTAAATCTCCACTTTCCTTACCAGGGGCCACCAGGCGGACGCCGGTAATTACTGAGCTGGCAAACTGGGGAGTGGAACGAAAGACTGAAGTTCCCTTCCTAATGCTGCTGCTGAAGATGGGAAACTTAAGGCCCCAGAACCCAGGAGTGTCAGGACTGGGCCACGTCTCACAATGGGCTGAACCTAACGGCTGTCCAACACAGCTTTCACAACTGCAGAAGTGACCAGTGTGCAGGGTCGACCCCAAGCAGCCCCCATGCGCACACAGAGTAACAGGACGAACAAGACAACAAGGTGTTTGACTTACGCTCCGGGTCCTTGCCAAGTCCATGTGATGGTGTCCTGGGGAGGAAGGGGCAGAGCCAGTCAGCACAGAGCTTGCGGCCAGCACCTCTGCCTGTGCCTGTCGGCCTCTCCCCACCTCCCACCCCGGAGAGCCGCTGTAGCCAGGGAGAAGGGAGGAGAGTGCTAGAACTCCAGCTTCCCAGACCTCCTGGGGACCCAGGACCTGGACTAGCCCCCTCCAGGTCCTCAGAGCCCCTGAGGATACAGGCCCCAGACCCACCCCCCTCCAGGTCCTCAGAGCCCCTGAGAATCCAAGACCCAGACCCTGAGAATCCAACCCCCGCCAGGTCCTCAGCGCCTCTAAGGACCCAGAGAACCACCTCCTTACAGACCCTCCCGAGTGCCCCCAAGATCCCCAGAGCTCCCGAGGACCCAGAGCCACCTCTTAAGAGGCTCCCAGAGCCCCCTGGACCTGGGAGAAAGGTCCTCCCTTGCCCCATGCTCTCCTCTCTCCTCACAGGCCTGCGGACACTGGTTCCAGCGTGCACCCGGGAACCTGGCCCTCTCCCACCCCCTGCTCTCTCCAGATGCTCTGGATGATCCCCTGACCACTGTGCATGTGCAGGCCGCCCCTGGGTGCTTTGGAAGCCCCATCTTCAGCCTCAGCGCCACCGGGCGGAGGCCACACAGCAGGGCCCTAATGGCAGAGGCCCAGACACTGCCATCCCGAGGTAGACACTGCTCCCCTGACAACTAAGCTCAGTGCTTCTGGGCGCATCCAGTAACAGTGTTGCTTTAAACACATTGATGAAATGATCTTAAAAACTGCACAATCTAGATTTCTGCACACAGATCAGAGTCTGTTATCCTCGGGTTGAATTTTTTGCTCACAGGAGCTGCATCAAGGTATGGTTTCTGCAGCAGAGACAGGAAGGGGTCCTTGGCCAGGAACCTGGCTGACAAACGCAAGCTTCAGTAAGGACAAGGCCCGTCTGTCGTGTGGCTACCGGCCCTGACTCCATTTTACTACCGACCATCAGCCCTCAGGGCAGAGTGAAACCCGCAGGCATCGCCAGGACAGGCCCTGAGGCAGAGGGGCCGGAGCCTGGCACCCAGAGGTCGCCGGTGTTTCTGCCCCACTGCGTCTGGACCTATGAGGTTTTTTTCAGTGAACTTTCCTTTGCCGTCACAAAGAGGAACTGCTACAGATGGGAAGCCCCTGTGACGGGTGGACGCTCCGCCAGGAACCTGCAGTGAGCCCAGCACCAGCGGGCTGTGGGGAACTCCGGTCCGCCTGAGCCGTTTTTATGCTCCAGGAGCCCATGAAGGAGCGAGGATGTGTGGGAAGGGGAGACACAGCTGGCACCAAATGAACGCCCCCTTTTGGGAGGCAAGGCCGCCAAAGTGGGGAGGGAGACGGAACTGGAAGTTTTCTGGGCATCTGAGAGCACCTGGAGGGCGGTGCTGCTGCCTTACAGGTGTGGAAACAGAGGCAGGATGTGGGCAGGGCAGGGGCTGTGGCGGGGGGGGTGGGGCAGGGCCTGGGGTAGGGGTGGGGCCTGGGGTAGAGGTGGGGCTCGGGACTGGGGTGGGGAGGGGCCTGGGGCTGAGGCGGGGCAGGGCCTGGGGTAGAGGTGGGGCTCGGGACTGGGGTGGGGAGGGGCCTGGGGCAGGGTTGGGACGGGGTGAGAGGGGAGGGGATGGGGGACAGAGCCAGGGCACGCTGAGCCTCCTCTGGAGGCAGCAAGGTCCCATGGGGACCTGCTCCGTGGCCTCATCCAGGCTTTATTCCCCAAGGTGGGGTCCACCACCTTTCCCCAGGAGCTCTTGACCCCTGGCGCCTTCTTAATTTTGTTCTCTTAAACCAAGCAAAACCTGGGCACTAAATGATAAGACCACTGAAATGACAAAGCCACCTCCGCCTTCCAGAACTTAAATGTTCTGAATGTTTCACCATCCTGAACTAGGCACTGAGAGCTGCTGGGCCCTGGCCGGTGGTGCGGGGTGGTGGCCTCTCTCCAAAATGTCAGATTTGGCCACACAGAGGAAAGGGCAGCTGCTTCAGGACCTACGGAAGCAGGGCTCTGTGTGGGTACTGGGACCGCTGTGGAACCACAGGATTGATCAGGGACATGTGCACAGAACAGGCCACGCTCGGGGACGCGGTGCACCGAGCCCAGTGCCATGGTGTAGATAACACATGCGGGGAGACGGTGACACAGGTGCACAGATGCAGCTCGCAGTTCCCATTCCCCGAGAATTCACCTGGAAGCTGGTCCCAGGAGAACACAACTCACCAGTTTATTTGGGTATCGTAAGACCACAGGCTGGACGGGAGCTCCGGGGATGAAGGCACCTGCCGGGAAAGGAACAGTGGCGTTGCCCGCGGCAGCCTGCGCAGGATGGCGTCTGCTGCGTTTCCCATGCTGCTCTTGGGCTCAGAAGGAGCTTTTGTGTCTCGGCCTTCCTGGTCAGCAAGGTCACTCCACGCCTGGACTATCTCAGCATCTGTACTGGCTGTAAACATCCAGTACCACAGCACGGATGGGCGGGAAATGGCCAGGAGCCCTGCCCGGCCAAGGGGCACTTTCTATTAGAGCACCGTGCACAAGCTAGAAGGCATCTGTGGGAAGCGGGGGTCCTCCAGGTGTCTGTACCGCAAGGTCCTCATCACCAGCCATGCCCATCCATGTGATGGAGTTAGGGTCACCCCCACCAGGCACACACATCTGCCTCAGGGCCCCACTCGCCGCCCTCACCGGGCCCTGGGGCTCAGCTGGAAGGACAAGAGGATTTGGTCACAGCTGCGGCAGGACCTGCCTCTCCTTCTGAGCAGCTGTCACCTGACGGGCTCCCAAAGAACCAGGAGAAGCCCCAGGGAGGCCCAGCTAGAGCCACAGGCCACGAAGGCTCAAGAACTTCCCCGTTCACACTGGGATTATGGCTGAAGCCGCTGCTCCGCCTTCTCACTGACCGGAGTTGCCCCCTTGTGAGCTGGAACAAGGCACCACAGACTGGATTCTGTTTCTATGTTAAGTTCTATCGAAAGCTCTATTTAAAGACTTTTTTTAAACTGGAAAACTCAGGCATCAGAAGTACTAAAGTTTTAGACAAGGATAGGTGGTGCGGGGAGGGCTCCCTGCCCGGTGACCTGAGGGCACGCTCCCTGCCCGGCGACCTGAGGGCACGCTCCCTGCTGTGACCTGAGGGCACGCTCCCTGCCCGGTGACCTGAGGGCATGCTCCCTGCCTGGCAACCTGAGGGCACGCTCCCTGCCCGGCAACCTGAGGGTACGCTGGCAGATCCCCAGGCAGCACCTTCTTCCCAGGCTGCCAGTGAGGGCCACAGTGGGGTCAGGAATTTGGGGTTGGTCCTGGCTGTAGGATTCTGTACCACTCTAGGAGAACGGAGCCCTTGCTTGCCCTGGGGCTGCAGGAGCGTCTGTCCTTAGGCTTATTCTCCTTTCATGGTGGCCTGAAGCGAGGCCAGTATCAGGCCTGTGACCTTGAGCTGATGGCCCAACCTGCTTGGCTTTCACCCCGTGCAGGACATCCACCTGCAGCCCTGGTGTCCAGCCAGCACCCTGAGTCCCTAGGCCTGTGTGCCGTGGCTTCCCCTGTGAGTCCCTAGGCCGGTGTGCCGTGGCTTCCCGTGTGAGTCCCTAGGCTGTGTGCCGTGGCTTCCCCTGTGAGTCCCTAGGCCGGTGTGCTGTGGCTTCCCTGTGAGTCACATAGGCAGTGTGCCGTGGCTTCCCCTGTGAATCCCTAGGACTGTGTGCTGTGGCTTCCCCCGTGTCGAGTGCTGGGCTGCCCCTTCCCTGCTGTGGGCTCAGCGGCACACGGGAGTGAGCTCACGTGGTTCACCCAGCACTTCTGTGTGCCCAGGATGGGTGGCTGTGTCAGGGGAGGTGGAGGATGGCAGGGCTGGCACAGACCCAGGCTCAAGCCCTAGCTTCCATGCCCGACAGCTGAGCCCAAGCTCCCAGGATGTGCAGTGCGGAGAAGATAGTCCTCACTGCCCGGGACTGAGCCCCGGAGACACATGGAGGGCCGAGACTGGCTGCAGTGACAGCAGCTTTGCTGTTGCAGCTCAGCGGACCATCTCGACCATGTGTCAAGGGGACATCACAGAAACTCTGTAAGAAGCAAAGGAAACCTCAACACCCTGGGGACCTCTCAGGAAAGTCCCCAAGAGCACAGAAACCTCCCATGAGCCTCAAAGGTCAGTGATTTCACAGAAACCCCAGTGGGAAAGCCTGCCGGGGTTTCTGGTCCCCCTAGTGTCCCAGGGGCCCCCAAGGGTCAGCAGCACCCAGACCCCGCCGGCACCGTGCACCCAGGGCAGACTGCACAAGGGCCAGGCTGGGAGAACCCAAGATGAGGGCGTCCGAGCCCAGGGCTTCTGAACGCGGGAACGAGGACGAAGGGAGGACGGGCAGGCGTCTAACCGCACGGAAGCCTCCGTGTTCACACAGCCTGTGCTTGGCATGGCTCTAATGTTACTAGCTGCCATGATGAGGCTGGGAGACGGCTCAGCAGAGACCCCTGACGCCCCCCCAGAGGGCCATCACCCCTTATTCACCCCGACCATCCCCACAGTCTACCCCACAGAGACAAACAGTCCGCCATGGCCCAGGGAGAGCCGTGTCCATGTCTGCTCACAGCCAGTAAAAGGAGGCCGCGTGGCCCAGGGACAGCTGCATCTGCATCTGGGCACAGCCCACACAGGAGCCCGCATGGCCCAGACAGCTGCGTCTGCATCTGGGCACAGCCCACACAGAAGCCCGCGTGGCCCGGGACAGCTGCGTCTGCATCTGGGCACAGCCCACACAGGAGCCCGCATGGCTCAGACAGCTGCGTCTGCATCTGGGCACAGCCCACACAGAAGCCCGCGTGGCCCGGGACAGCTGCGTCTGCATCTGGGCACAGCCCACACAGAAGCCCGCATGGCCCGGGACAGCTGTGTCCACTGCTGGCAGCCACATTCGCAGGCCTGGCCTCCGCACCCTCAGGCAGTCGGTGCTGTTGCTGGGCCCCCGCCGCATCCCAGGGCCTTCTTGCTGTTCTCGCTCTGCTCTGAGAGCTCAGAGTTGGCAGGCAGGTGGGGTGTGGGCACGTGGAGGGTGTGGGCCCAGCATCTTCCAGGAGGGCCCTCGGGGCACCCAGCCAGCCGATCCTGCTCTAGTGCCCTCTGACAAGGAGGGTGAATGTGGCACTGGAGAGGAAGGCCCTGCGTGGGCCTGTTTCAGGTGCAGCTCAATCCCTGCAGAGCCCTGAGGGTCCCGGCCCTGCTGAAACCCACTACCATCCAGCAGACGCCCTGGGGCTCTGCTGAGCTCTGTCACTCCCACCTCAGAGGCGGCCAAGGCCAGGGTCAGAACAGGGGGCCTCAGGTGGACAGTGCAATGCAGACGGGAGACACTCAGGAGAAAGAAGGCATCCGGGCCGAGGAGGATCCTGGCAGAGGCTCCAGGAGCGTGAGGCTGGAGACTGGGCCCGATGCGGGAAGGTCTCTGGGGATGAAGGCGGGGAGTTGGCAGTGGTGTCCAAAGAGGGGTGACCCCAGCAATGTAACCCCAACATGAGGCAATGTGATGGAAGGTGGAGGGAGGGGCCTGAGTGGAGGGGGGCACCGTGGAGCTGCAGGAGTCTGAGCCTGGGACCCCAGACAGGTTGTGGGTGCCTCTGGTGTCAGGCTCAAGGCAGGAGACCCCCACGGCTCTGGAGGGCTGCACCTCGAGGTGTCAGGATCACGCGCCATACACCAATTTCACCTCAAAACAGGAGGATCCAAACCTGCCTAAAAAGCACCCAGCTGGGACGAGTGGGGCTACGAGATTCCCAACACAGGGCTCGAGGCCGCCGGAGCCCCGCGCCCGAGGGCGACACGTGGAACTCCTGGCTGGACCCGCTGGAAACGGAGACGGGGACGGGATCCAGCCACTGTGTGGTCTCCACAGATGCTGTGGACCCACCTGCAGAACAGCGAGCACCCTTCCAGGGCAGCACACAGAGAGCTCCTGCCGGGCACTGCTGCCACCCCCCTGGGTTTTGTGATATGCGTTGAGAGGTGCGCACACGCCCTCCTCACGTCTACACCAGGGCCGCCAGCTCCACAGGGCAAGGCAACAGCCCTTCCAGGGGGCCTCCCCACAGGCACGAGGCTCCCCTCCCCAGGAACACCTGCCCTTGAGATAGGCCCTGCAGTGACCCCAGGCCCACACCCGCCGTGGACAAGACCTGACCTGCTTGCCAGCTGTCTTCTGCCTGGGGCCCTGGAGACACAGCCTGCTTTCAGCCCTCACTGAGGCTGCCCATTTCCTGGTCCTGGCTCACAGGCTGTGCTCAGGCATGGGCCCAGTGTGGTAGGGGGCACATGAATTCTTGGTCACTGGGTATCACCTCCACCCTCTATGTCTCTGGTTCTGAAGGACTCAGAACCACATGTGGTGAAGACAATGGAACAGGAAGACCCAGCACCTTCCACTGAGCTGCACTTTAAACCTCTTCTAGTGACAGCTGCCACCTGCCTGCCACGCTGAGGAGGGTGGACGACGAAGGCACACGCATCTGAGCAGGAGAGGATGGCCACGGGCCCGGAAACCACGTGGCCCACACAGGCAAGCGACTACACGCTTCCTCTACCCAGCTCCCAGAAAAGCCCAGATACTCAGGCTGTGCGGCCCCAGAGGCAGGGCAGCTGGTGCCAGTCCAAGCAAGGTACTGGCTTCTCCACGTGGCTCTGGCCCAACCCCAGGCAAAAGGTCTGCATACCCTAGTACGGACAGTTCATGAGAGCCATCACTTTCTAAAGTCACCCAAGGGAGATGACAGGATCCGGGGGGCCTCTCTGACATGCCCAAGGGTGTGCAAAATTCCAAGCAGACTCAGCAGAAAGAATGGTGGGCTGTTGCCTGCTCATTGCAACGTTTCCCATGTCAGGGGTGGAGACCTCAACACTAGACCTGGGTGGTCGCTGCGGGAGAGACCCAAGTTCACACGCATTTGAGTCCCCGTCCTCAGGGAGAAAGAGCACTGTCTATCTGGGGCCTTGGGAAGCTGAAGACGTGCGGATCTGAGCATGGCTCACAGGGATTTGCACCTGGGACCCCCAGGAGTGGTGGGGAGCGAGCTGTAGGCCCAGAAGGACGCCCTGAGCCATTCAAAGGCAAGGAGGCCCCTTCTGGACCCAGGACCCCCCAGCCTGGATCTCAAAGCAGACGCAAACGTTTATCTCTACCACCCTGGACACGACCTGAAATCCTGACTTCCCCATCCTCCTGCAAACACGATAATCCTCGACTCAAATTCTAACATTTATTCTGTGACTTTTCTTAGAAACACCTCTAAGAACCCCAGCATACGGGAGAAAACCAGAAGCTGTTCTTATTTGCACAACACATTATTTAAAAACATCACTTGAATATTTTCCTTTTCTCTAGGAGAAAAATGAACAATTAAGAAAACCACATACCAGGTTTGAAGGTAATTAGGCAGGTCCTGTTCGTACAAGTTCCTTCTGGAAAAATCATTATCTTGAAGTAGGAGAAAGAAAAAGATCAGCATTAAACTGTACATAAGTATAACTCAGAACTTACAGGTACCAATCTTCACCGTATATCTTCTTGGCTGCTGACACAAGTTAGATACTGTAATCATATTCAGTATCTGAATTATTAAAATGCATTATGGAGCATACACTGATTTCCGCTCTACCGCTTTTACTGAAGTGCGGCAGCAGTGGAAATACACCAACAGCATCTGCCTTCTTCAACCACAGCTCCTGGAAAGCAGGGAGATCTCGGTGCCCATCCTTCAGCCATGGTGAGAAGCGGGTGCGCTAAATATAACACACGATTGGCACAGCGGAAGCACCCCGCGGGGGAGCAGCGCTCATTCCATCAGGAGGGAGGGAGAGAGTCAAGAACAAAGACGCACGATGGGAGTGCCTGGCTGACGGACCCCAGCATCCGGCTCAGTGAGCAGCAGAGCTGAGCCCCAGTCAGGCAGCGCCCGCCACACCACGGCTCCAACTCCTCTGATTCACAATGACCTGCAGTAGCAGAAACTGCACTCAGACTTGCAGCCCCTCAGGCTGCTTCAGTTCTGAACCCTGAAAAGAAGGGAGACCTCAGGCGGGCCAGCGGGGGTGCACCCAGACCTTAGGCAGGCCAGTGGGGGTGCACCCAGACCTCAGGTGGGCCAGTGGGGTCCACCCAGACCTCAGGTGGGCCAGTGGGGGTCCACCCAGACCTCAGGTGAGCCAGCGGGGGCCCACCCCAGCAAGCCCAGGGTCAGGCAGGCCAACTGGGTAAAGGAGGAGGCAGCCTGTGCTTGTAGGGGCAGAGCTGGGGCACCCTCGAAGTCACAGCCCCCACAAGTGGCTACCCCCAGTCAGACCCCACAAAGGTTCCTGAGCAACCAGATCCCAGACAGTTCTGTGAAATTTCCAGTCTCTAATGCTGGCTCAGTTAAAGAAGAAAAAGAGAGTGCCCAGGCTAACGTCAGCTGCACTGAACCCTTATGGCTGGAGTCAGGGCTTCTGAATGACTGGCTGGGAACCAGCACACAGACCAGCAAATTTACTCCAGGACTTTCAGAACCACCCAATACACAGGGGGCTGACACGTCAAACCTAAAACCGAACCACACCAGGAGGGTGGATTAGCAATGCTCTGTCCCAGTCAGAACTTATGTTCAAAAAAGATGATTCAAGAAGCTGCCATGTGCTTGAGAACTGTTTTTCCTTGCTTTAAATTTCAGGCACCGAAACCAAATGCTCCTGACAGTGCCATCTTGAGCCCACGTATTCACTAAGAAGAGAACCGGAATCCGGCCCCAGAGGAAGGGTCCCCGTGTCTTCTTTCTCCCCATTCTCGAGGTTCACATCTTTTGGAATAAAACCACCGAAACACAATCAAGACTGACTTACCTGCGGCCACTTTCCATTGGACTGCGCCCGTCTCTTGATTTCTTCTACTGTCTTCCTGCGAGAATCCTGGTCTGACCGGGACACGAACACGGGCCGTATGTACCGGATCAGAGCTGGAAGAGAGGGGAGGCAGATCACGTGGAATGCACGCCTCCCGCCAGGCAGGGCCGGGGAGCAAGAGGGCGGCTGCACAGCGCCCAGGGGGGCAGGAGCCCCCAGATGCCCCAGGGCTGTGCCACGGGCGGCTGTGAGTCCCTGCCTGAGGGAACAAGATGGCACCCAGCCTGGCCAAGTATGCGACAGCAGGAAGCCCTGCCGCCTGGGTGCCAAAAGTAACAAAAACCACGTCCACAGCAGCCACTGAGGACACGGAGCACAGAACAAAAACCACGTCCACGGCAGCCACTGAGGACACGGAGCACAGAACAAAAACCACGTCCACGGCAGCCACTGAGGACACGGAGCACAGAACAAAAACCACGTCCACGGCAGCCACTGAGGACACGGAGCACAGAACAAAAACCACGTCCACGGCAGCCACTGAGCACAGAGCGGAGTCAAGGAAAGCCAACCGCCAGGAAGCAGAAAGTCTTCAGTACGGCTCTTAACAGAAGACAGGGTCGAAGGTGCCAAGTCCTGTGGCTTGGACCCCACCCACCCTGTGTGGGTGAACTGCACCCCTAAAGATAAGCTGAAGTCTTCACTCCTGGTATCATGAATGGGACCTCGTTTAGAAACAGGTGACAGCAGGACTGAGGGGCCTCATGGGAAGAGGAGACAGAGATGGGTAGAGAAGGCCAATGATGAAGGAGGCGCTGGAGCGGCGTGGCCGCGGCCCTCGCAGGGAGCTGGGAGCCGGGAGGCGGAGGGAGCTTTCAGAAGAGCCCAGTGCTGCCAGCACCTTCATCTGGGGCTTCTGCTTCCAGACCGTGGGAGCACACGTTCCTGTCGTTCCGGGCCACCAGCTGTGTGGAGCTTTGCAGAGCAGCCCCGGTTCTAACCACTGCCCCCCACAGCCTCCTGGTAGGTGCAGGGTCGGGGTACCAGGGACCCTGCCATGAAGGCTGGTGCTTGGTCAACCAGGGCCCACGGCCACGGTACCTGGCCTTCTGCAAAAGGATTTGAACGTGGCAACCAACTTCTCAGAAGAGAAACTTTGAAGACTTTACAATGAAACCGTCCCTCAGTGGGGCTTCCTTCCTGAGGATGGTGAGCCGGGTCCACGCTCGGCCCCCCCAGACCAACTGAGGGAGGCTTCTGACCCCACCACGGGCTCCCAGGCTGCTGCAGGTCACCCCGCCTCTGCACCCCAGTTCAGCTTCCAGTCTCTTTTCTTAGTGTTTTTCTTACTTGTACGGAGCAGCATTTTATGACTTTCATCCTTTCTTGGAGGTTCCTTCCTCCAAGAGCAAACAGAGAATCGAAGCCAAAAATAGAAAGTTCCTTCTATCCTGTGATTACCTGCCAGGTCTGAGGACCCTTCTGTAAAATCAAAGACACACGGGTCTTAGCGATCTTTCCTCTGACTTCAGTCATTTTGCTTTTTCACGATTCCAGAAACTGTTTCATCCTTACCCATCGGTTATTCTCGACTCTGCTAAAAAGTCCTAAAGAAGAAGGAAAGGGCAGAATGATGGAGCCGCCTCGTGGCCCTGACTTTGTGGTCTTTCGGTGCCCACTGTTTTGCCCAAAGCATCCCATGGTCTTCCGAAGGGCACACCGGGTCTGGAGATCTCACTCTGCCACCTTTGCAATCTCGTCAGCTGGTTTGTTTCATGAACAGAGTTGAGATTTCAGAAGTGTCTGTACGGCAAAGAAAAGCGCAGTGGTGGGGGGACGTTTCTCCACTCTCAGATGCATTCAGGGGTCCATGCGGGGAGTGCAGGGGGGACATGAGCATCCGAGTGAAGCCTCGGGCCATGCACCTTCAGTAGGGCTGCTGGTGTGCATTTCACACTCGAGCACTGAGAATTGGGTGGCGCTGATGGCAAGGAGCTGCGGCTCCTCCCTGGGGGCCCTGAGGAGTGAAGGGCGTCTCTGTGCCATCCGTGCAGCCACAATGGGACTGGCGCATTTTGCCAGCAGGGATGTGATGACGTTCTGCTGTCTTTTGGGCATTTGAACCTCCAACTTCCCTTGACAAGGTTTGTTAACAGATGGTGCAGATATGTAGGTCACTGAAACTAATAACGTGAAAATGAAAAAAATCCACTGGGTTGGTCACTCTAATTGGTATTGATTCATCTAAAAATGAAAACATTTTGAACACTTTGAACGTTCATCTCTTCAACAAACCTGCGAGATGTCAAAGGGTCCACGATAGGAACCAGAAGTTGCCACAAGCTGGGACCAGGTGAGATGTCTCTAGGCTGGAGCCTAGGGGAGACGTCTCTGAGTTGAAACCTGGGGAGACATCTCTGAGCTAGGAACCGAGGAAGACGTCTCTGAGTTGCAGCCTGGAGGAGACAGACGTCTCTGAACTGGAGTTTAGGGGAGACATCTCTGCGCTAGAACACAGTGCCCAAACACTCCTGCATGCCGGCAGTCTCCACAGGGAGGCACGGAGATGTCTCTGAGCTGGAGGCTGAGGAGATGTCTCTGAGTTGGAGCCTGGGGAGATGTCTCTGAGCTGGAGCCTGGGGAGATGTCTTTGAACTGAAAACCGGGGGAGATGTCTCTGAGCTGGAGCCTGGGGGAGATGTCTCTGAGCTGGAGGCTGCGGAGATGTCTCTGAGCTGGAGCCTGTGGAGACGTCTCTGAGCTGGAACCTGGGGAGATGTCTCTGAACTGAAAACTGGGGGAGATGTCTCTGAGCTGGAGCCTGGGGGAGTTGTCTCTGAGCTGGAGCCTGCGGAGACGTCTCTGAGCTGGAGCCTGGGGAGATGTCTCTGAGCTGGAGCCTGGGGGAGATGTCTCTGAACTGGAGCCTGCGGAGTCGTCTCTGAGCTGGAGCCTGGGGAGATGTCTCTGAACTGAAAACTGGGGGAGATGTCTCTGAGCTGGAGCCTGGGGAGAGGTCTCTGAGCTGGAGCCTGCGGAGATGTCTCTGAGCTGGAGCCTGGGGAGATGTCTCTGAACTGAAAACTGGGGGAGATGTCTCTGAGCTGGAGCCTGTGGAGACGTCTCTGAGCTGGAACCTGGGGAGATGTCTCTGAACTGAAAACTGGGGGAGATGTCTCTGAGCTGGAGCCTGGGGGAGGTGTCTCTGAGCTGGAGCCTGCGGAGACGTCTCTGAGCTGGAGCCTGGGGAGATGTCTCTGAGCTGGAGCCTGCGGAGATGTCTCTGAGCTGGAGCCTGTGGAGATGTCTCTGAGCTGGAGCCTGGGGAGATGTCTCTGAACTGAAAACTGGGGGAGATGTCTCTGAGCTGGAGCCTGGGGAGATGTCTCTGAACTGAAAACTGGGGGAGATGTCTCTGAGCTGGAGCCTGGGAGACGGTTCTGAGCTCCTGAATCAGAGTGTGCTCTAGGTACGCAGTGGAAGAGACATCAGCCACGCCCCAGGATGACGGCCCTTGCAGGCCAGGACAGCAGGGAGTCAAACGTAGTTCCTGCTAAGTTTGAGCTCTAAATTAAATTTCTGACAAGGCTGTTTGTCACTGTCCTCTCCCTTGCAGGTCCGTGGATGATCTGGAATGATGAGGAACACACGGCTCCACGAGGGCCCCGCGCACGGCGGCATGGCTGTGTGTTCTTCTGCTGGGCCGAAATGAAGCTGGGCGCTGGGTCACCAGGGTCGCTCCTGAAGACGTGGACTCCTGAGCCCTCCAGAAAAAATCGGACTACAGCGCTCAAACACCCCTTCACGCCAGCAGGGGCACTGGGGGAGAGGTCTCTCTGCAGGGAGGCGCCGAGGGGCACAGGGAGAGCCCGGCCAACGCTCGACTTCACTCTGGGCGGGCCAGCCCCCTCTCCAAAGACCCCTGCAGCTGTGAGGGTCCCTGGGCACACGGCTCCACAATGCAGCTCCCTGAGCGGAGGACAAAGGACCACAGGCCTCTGCCACAGTGGAGGCGCAAATGTGGTCTCTTGGGTGTGCTGGCAGCGCGGTATGCCAAGGGTGCTGACTGGCTCTGGGGCTGCCCAGCTGGCCAGTGGAGCTTAGAGCGAGGAAGGCTGTGTGTCAGAGCCGGAGCTGTAATCTGCATGGTGACTGTAGCTCAGTCTCGCCTCAGCCTCCTTCAGCCTTCCCCTGCCAGCTGAGTGCAGCCAGCCCCAGAACATCCAGTCCCACTAAGGGTCACCCCCAGTCTCCAGGCCTGACCCATGCAGACATAGGCCACCCACAACTGCCCGGCTGCAGGCACAGCCTGGAGACCCTCCGGCTGCTACAGGCCCAGTGCCCCGAGGGCAGTGCCGGGCTTCTTCACCCCATTTCCAGCCTTCCTATGCCAGCTGTGGCCGTGATCCTCAGTGGTCAGCACCACGGAATGTGCCGCCCCCAAATATTCTCTATAAAACTGTCACACGAATGCTAATGTTAGGAGCCGTGTGGAAACTCAGAGCTGGCCAGAGCACCAAGTGAGGACCCCAGCCACGGGCAATGCCCTTCCTCCTCCCGGGAAGCTCCTGCCCTCAGCACTTCCCACTGCCAACACAGGACTCGCTGTGCCCCAGAACCGCTGTGCTGATGTCCCCGCAAAGAAAGCACTCAGACAGAGCAGGCCCAGACACCCTGGAGAGCACAGAGGACACAGCTCTGGCGGGTCCGCACTGTGCACAGGCAGGTGAGGGGCAGGCAGGGCTCCAGGGCTCCCTACGGTCCTCACAGAGCAGCGGGCCTCTGCTGACCCTGGAACCTGGGAATGGGACCGTATTTGGACAAAGGTTTTTCAGAGGTAATTCATTAAGGATCTCAAGATGAGAGCATCCTGGATCACCCAATGACTGGTCCTTATAAGAGACACATGGAAGAGAGACATGCAGAGGAAGCCAGGCCACTCGGCCACTGAGGCAGAGGCAGAGCCATGTGGCCACAGCCCAGAATCGCCTGCAGCCCCCAGAAGTGGGAAGAGGCAGGAAGGGGACCCCGACGGTCTTTGGAGAGAGCGGGGCCTACACACGCCTTGATTTTGAACACCTGGTCCCCAAAGGTGAGAGGATGAATCTCTGCTGCACTGAGCACCCGGCCTTGGTGAGGTCCCAGCTGCACCAGGGCTCAGGCCCCTGGATTCACCGCACAGCCCCGGCGCACAGGCAGCCCCGCCGACCCTGCTCCCCACGACTTCCATAATTGCCGTCTGATAAAGGGATCCACCCTTGCCAAGGAGACCTGGAGCAAGCACCGTAGCCTGTTATGATAGTGAGGGCACTCAGGCGCCAATAAAAATGAAAACTACCACAATGAAAGTTACACAAGAAACCACAACAAACAAAGTGGGACGCAAGGCCGACGTGCTGGCTGCGGGGGTTTCCATCACTCCCAGACATGCGGGGGGTGGGGGTGGGGAGCCTCACTCCAGGTAGGTGGGTCTCCTTCCCAGCAGTGCGGGCGGTGGGGGGTCCCTCAATCCCAGGAGGGAGGTCTCACTCCCAGCAGTGCAGGGGAAGGGTCCCTCACTCCCAGCAGGAGGGGAATCTCTTATTCCCAGTGAGAGGTGGGGGACCTCTCATTCCCAGTGGGGTTGGGGGGCCCCTCATTCCAGCAGGAGGGGAATCTCTTATTCCCAGCAGGTGGGGGGATCGCTCGTTAGCAGGGCGGGGGGTCCCTCACTCCCAGCAGGGGGTCTCACTCACTTCCCCAGATCGGGATGTCTCTGCTCTCTGCCTTCATCACGATGGAGGACATGGTCATGGTCACCGGGATGGCGTCGAAGTAGGACGAGTGTGGAGCGAGCGTGAGGATGGCCGCCTCGGTGGGCAGCGCCTGCCGCCCCTTCACGGCCACCCAGTGGAAGCCACCGGCAAACCACATGGTGCGCATGATGGCCTTCAGCAGGAAGTCCACGACCCTGCAAAAGAGGGCGCTGGGTCACACGGGCACGGGTCTGTGGTCCCAGAGGCTGCGTGAAGTACGTGGCAGTCCCATGGGTGGGCCCTCCAGGGTGCAGTCCAGGCCACGGGCTTCCTGCGGTCGCTGCTGTTGAGACATCCGCTTAAGGGAAGAAAAGACACCGCGCCTTCCCACCCTCCGCCTGTGTCCTCGCCAGCCGCACCCTCACCGACGAAGGAGACCCCGGGCCCCGTGTGGAGGTCACGGCCACGTGACAGGCAGTGACTCCTGAACACAGACAGCACAAACTCCAGGCCAGAAGTCCTCGGGACCTTGAGGTTAGCAGCTTACTTATCAGCATCCTATGATCTGAAATGGGAAAACATGAAAACATCCAAGATGCACATTGACACGTGGAGGGGGCCCGGAGCTGCGAGCAGAGCCCAGACCAGCGTGTGAACTTCCCCATCTCATCTCCACGAGAAGCCCGGGGTTCCCGCAACCAGGCGTGGTGATTCCAGTGAGCTGTTTCTGGAAGAAATTAGATGGCCAGTAAATTTGGAAAATAAAGTAAAAATCAGCCTCGTTAACTGAATTTGTGTACAGAATTTGAATCTTTAGAAAGAACATCTCTTTCTAAAATAGGTACAAATTTAGCCTTTTAAATGTGTGTATTCTCTTTCCTACGAGGCTGCAAATCAGGCTGTTATTCCACACATCACGGAACCGTCGTTTGGCAGATGGTGCGGGAGAGGCCACAGGCTGTGCACACCTCAGTCCGCAGAGAACAGGATCCGCCCTCCTTAGGAGCCACGTCTCACTAGGTCACTGGGTGAAACCGCAACAGGGAGAAACAAGAGCCTGGAGCCTTCCTGGACCGACATTCCCGCGGGATGTGGGATCCTCTTCAGGAGACTTCCAGGACAGGGGCCCCCACGGACCTGAGCCGAGGCAGTCGCTGGAAGAGCACAGAGCCTCTCAGGGGCCGCCTCAGAGCGGCCTGTGTGTGCACAGATGGTAAACAACGTGCAGTTACACATGGAGACGCTGGGACCGACCCAGGACGCTGCTCTCCAGCGGGAGGTGGGAGCACGCAGGCCGCACTTCCTCACCACCTGCTCAGCTGAACATTTACAGATGGACTTTTCTGGCCAGGCACGGTGGCTCACACCTGTAATCCCAGGACTTTGGGAGGCCGAGGATGAATCACTTGAGGTCAGGAGTTCAAGATCAGCCTGGCCAACATGGTGAAACCCCGTCTCTACTAAAAATATAAAAACTAGCCAGGCATGGTGGTGCGTGCCTATAATCCCAGCTACTCAGGAGGCTGAGGCGGGAGAACAGCCTGAACCCAAGGGGCGGAGGTTGCAGTGAACCGAGATCAGACCACGGCACTCCAGCCTGGGCGACAGAGTGAGACTCCATGTCAACAAAACTAAACGAAACCAAAATAAAGATAAAATGTACTCTTCCATACGCAGGTTGTTTCCCACAGTGAAAACAAAAGCTGACAGACAGCAACTGATGCGTAAGATGGAAGAGACAAGGCAGAGGCAGGAGGAGTGAGGCCGGGGAGGAGGCTGTGGAGGAGGGAGGAGTGAGGCCGGGGAGGAGGCTGCGGAGGAGGGAGGAGTGAGGCCGGGGAGGAGGATGCGGGGGAGGGAAGAGTGAGGCCGGGGAGGAGGCTGCGGAGGAGGGAAGAGTGAGGCCGGGGAGGAGGCTGCGGAGGAGGGAGGAGTGAGGCCGGGGAGGAGGCTTCGGGGAGGGAGGAGTGAGGCCGGGGAGGAGGCTGCGGGGAGGGAGGAGTGAGGCCGGGGAGGAGGCTGCGGAGGAGGGAGGAGTGAGGCCGGGGAGGAGGCTTCGGGGAGGGAGGAGTGAGGCCGGGGAGGAGGCTGCGGGGGAGGGAGCAGTGAGGCTGCAGAAGCTGTGGGGAGCACAAGTGAGGCTGTGGAGGAGGCTGCGGAGGAGGCTGCGGAGGAGGCTGCAGAGGAGGGAAGAGTGAGGCCGGGGAGGAGGCTGCGGAGGAGGGAGGAGTGAGGCCGGGGAGGAGGCTGCGGAGGAGGGAGGAGTGAGGCCGGGGAGGAGGCTGCGGAGGAGGGAGGAGTGAGGTGGAAGAGGAGGCTGCAGAGGAGGCTGTGGTGGGCACAGGAGCTGGTCCCGGGCGGGCTCAGAGGCAGGAAAGAGGAGAGCAGGGAAAAGGGATCAAATCCGGGGCCAACTCGGAGGAACACCCCCTCCAGCCCCAGACGGAAAAGCAGCCTCAGCTCTTCTCTAAAGACCTTGGAGGAATTTTACACCCAAACTATCCACATGGGAAAACCCAGGCTGCTGGTACAGATCGTGGTCTCGGAGAAGAGTTCTGCTTGCTGTGGGGTGGTGGACCCAGCACCCGCTCACCCCAAGGCAGAGGCAGGGAAAGCCCGAGGTGCTCAGGTGCCTGGGCAGCCTGTTCCCAGGGGAATGTGAATGGGGGATGGATCTATCTGCACACACAGCAGAGCGGGGATCTCCTTAGCACCCCTGGGAAATCCACTTCATCCTATCGTCCTCGCATGGATGACACCCACGAATCCTGGGATGTGTGAGCAGAGCGGCTGCATGGCAGAGAAGTGGAGCCCTGACTCCAAGAGACAGACAGAGTGGGCATCAGAAGATGGGCACAAAACATCCATCACGCTCGCCCGGAGTCAGGAAGAACAGGGTGCACTGAGGAGCATCAGAGAACAAAACCCTCTCAGAAACCAAGACTCTCACTGGGGACAAGCAACTCACGGGAAAGCCTGGAAAATGAGGGGGAGGAAATCTCCTGGAACAAGCAGGCAGGAAAGGAGGAGAGCTGCTGAGGTCTTCACCCCTAAAGACAGCCGGTGTGTGTGGGTGTGTGGGCGAGGAGGCTGCACATCTGAGTGTGAAGGGCATTCGCAGGCCACAGCTCTGCAGGTTCCAAAGGTTCTGCTGTGAGTCCAGGCAGGTGATGGAGCGGAGCCGGCCCTCGAGAGGACAGCTGCCTGAGTGCTGGCTACAGTGCCGGGGGAGGGGAGGGCAGGAAAGGGGCCGTGGGGCCACACCTGGGGGGTCTCAAGGAGCCAGCTCTGCAGCTCCACGTGGGCCTGCCTAGCAGCATCAGGGCCGGTCCCTGGGCGGCTGGTGGTAGAGCTGTGCTGGACTGCAGGCATGGAGGGGCAGCCCCAGGATGAGACACAGGTGGCAGGAGCTGCTGGCTTCCAGGAGACCAGAGAAAGTGGTTTGATGTTCAAGTTCAAGCTCCAACATCCAGGCCAATGTACGTGGAATACCTGGAGTCATCATGTGGATGGAATTCCCAAACTTGGGAACGGAAGTTCCGACACAGAGCATCCAGGAAAGGGTACCCGCCATCTGAACTGCCCAGTTGGCCCAGGGACAGCCCCTGGAGGGCCTGGCCCAGCTCAGGACTTGGCCCATGGTCAAGGATTCAGGGCCAGTTGGTTGGGTTTTGCAAAACGACGCTACAGTTTTTACAACACTGTGTTTTGAAAGTAACTTAAAATAGTGCCTTTTGCAAAACTGTGTCATTCTTTCACTGAAAACCTAACATTTTCATTTTAGGAAGGTTTGAATGACACTAACTTACATTCAGCAAAAACGCTTTAATTCAACATCAATCTACTGGAAACTGCAGAGCAGCGCAGAGCGTGAGTCAAGTCCCCCACTAACCGCGTCATTGTTATTCAGCTGTACGCTCTGAATCCGTTATTCCAAATCCAGCTTTTTCCTGATCCCTTGCGTCCCTAACTACGGGGCTTTTGTGACTAGAGTTCCCCTTGGGGAATTCAGAATTCAGGGTTTGTTCTCTCTTCTGTTTCCCTTCAAGTACCAAGCCAAGCCCAGGACTGTGCACCAAGGGAGCTTTCATCAGGGCTGCTGAAGGAGACACCAGGGCTCAGGGGTGGGGTCCAATGCTGTGCACACGTGCAGCTTGAGTACCGGCAAGCATCCGTGCAGACTTACGCACTGGCACCCACGTTCACCTGCACACACATGCACCTGCACACACATGTGCATTCACATGCATACACAGACATCGCTCTCATATATACGTGCACACACACTCACCTCCACACATTCACATGCACAGACATTGCTCTCATAGACACACTCATATACACATGCACATGCTCACCTGCACACACATGTGCATTCACACAGACATCGCTCTCATAAACTCATACGTGCACACACACCTGCACACAAATGTGCATTCACACAGACATTGCTCTCATACACTCATACATGCACACACACTCAACTGCACACACATGCGCATTCACACACACAGACATCACTCTCATACATTCAATACACACACGCACACACACCTGTAAATACGTGCGCATTCACACTCAGACATCACTCTCACTCATACACACATGAACACACATTCATCTGCACATACATGTGAACATTCACACAGACACCACTCTCATATACTCATACATACGTGCCACACACCTGTAAACGTGCACATTCACACACAGACATCACTCACTCATACATGCACACACATTCACCTGCACATACATGTGCACATTCACACACATACAGACATCACTCTCATACACTCACACATTCACACATTCACCTGCATAAACGTGTGCACATTCACATAGACATCACTTTCACATACATGCACATTCACCTGCACGTGTGCACATACACAGACTGCTCTCATACACGCATACACACATGCACACACATTCACCTGCACACACGTGCACATTCACACACAGACATCACTCATACTCACCTGCACACACGTGCATTCAGACATCACTCATATACACACGCACACACACCTCCACACATGTGCATTCACACACATAATCTCATTCATGCACACATGTACACACCTGCACAGACGTGCATTCACATGAACACAGACATCATTCATACACTCATATACACATGCACTCACTCCCCTGTACACCCATGTGCACATTCAGACACAGACATCACTCTCATAGACACACTCATACACAAATGTACACACATTCACCTGCACACACATGCACACATTAACACAAAGACATCATTCTAATACACACACATGCACACATTCACATGCACACACACGCACACATTCACATGCATACAGATTATCATACACTTACACACACATGCACACATTCACCTGCACACACGTGCACACATTCACATGCACATAGACATTGCTCTCATACAGACACACATACATGCACACATTCACCTGCACACGCGTGCATTTCACACATACACAGCCACATTACATGCAGACACAGATATCGCCCTCATTCACACATGCACCCACACTCACCTTCACACATGTGCATTCACAAACATACCAGTCATATAGACACACTCATACACACATGCACACATACATGCACACACTCATACATATGTATGCACAAGCATCCATGCATATTCTTGCACAGGCTCACACACCTGCACACAAATGTGCACACATTCACATGCATACATAAATTGCTCTCAAACTCATACACATATATGCACACACACAAACATATGTACACACATATTCTCATACACATGTACACACATACATATGTAGACACCTATACACATGCACACTGGGACACATATACAAATACACAAATGTACACACAGACACATATACAAATACACACATACACAGACACAACACTCTCCTACACATGTACACACATGCTGTCATACTTGTACATATAGGCACACACGATACACACATCCACACACATATACATGCACCTGCATACATGTACATACATGTACACAGTACACACGTACATATTCTTACACATGAATTCTTGTGCCAGCTGCTCACACACACACACGCAACTACACACATATGCACATGTACCGACTCTGGAGCATGCACATACACACATGCATGCACACTCACATGTGCATATGTATACACGTACACGTGCACACTCTCTCACACACTCTCTCTGCACACATACACAGAATGATACACGGTGAGTCTCCACAGACCCAGAGGCCCACAGGTCTCATGAAGTGGAGGTGACAAAAATTCCGTGTCACTCTCATGGGACACTCGATGTGTGCATGAGACGTACACATGAAAGCATCTCTAAAGTCGGGCTGCTGGAATGAGAGTCCGCCATGGTCCATTTATCACGTGATGAAGCCAAGCAAATTATTCATCGACAAGAAAAGCCAGCAGGGTTAGCACTGGGAAATGGAAAACTGCCCCGAGCCATCTATTTTGAAAAAGTCAGAGTCTGCGCATGCGCGGGGCTCCCATCTCCCGAGACAGAGCAGAGGAGGCGGGGAGCTCGGCCCGACAAGGACACGGGGAGTGAAGGGAAAGGGCGCCAGCAAAGCCACGAAGCCGCCGCGGGCCACAGCGCCACATCCACCAGGCCACTGCAGCCTGCCGACACTAGGACCTCCGCTCTCTAGCTGCGGCTTCTCAACTCGGCAAAACTGAAAGCCCGACTCTGGCTTGGCCTTGATTTATTTTGCTTGGTTATATATTGGATACCCAATTCCTGTTTCACGGTTCAAACATTTGAAAAACAACCCTCAAGATAAAGCGTGTTCTTCAAAAAGAATTTTAAAAATTTAGAAAGGCAAAATGAAGAAGCAAAGCCAGTGATGATCCCACCGTCCCTAAATAACCCAGGCTGCCCTGGGTTGCCACCACCCAGCAAGCCACTTGACATCCACCCACTCAGCAGGGCACAGAGTGAGGGGCCCCCAACGTCCAGGCTGCCCCTGAACTACGACTGTGCCATGTCAGCACACAACAGCATGGCAAACCCAGGACCCTAAGCGGCCGTCTTTCCTGCACCTAACTGCGTGTCTGAGTGTGGCCCTGGGTATCCAGATGTTGGCTCCCTTAAGCTTCTTAGTGGTGAAAACTTTCTTGTACATACAGCCTATAGATCAGACAGCTTCCGGAGAAAGCAGGGGGCTGGGCACGCCCACTATACCTGCCAGGAGCCACACTGTGGATGCATCAGACTTGGCCACACGGCCTCTGTCCCGACCACTGGGCCTGGCTCCCCAGGAATGCTGCCCCGAACATCACTCAGGTGAGGGCTGTGCCCATACTCCAGTAAAACCGTACTTACAGGCAGGCACAGCAGCCTCCATTCACTACTAATACTCCTGTTTGTGAATAAAAGATCGAGGCAGCCCTCTCAGGATGGTGAGTGGTGTGAACAACACACTGAAGGGTGGTCAGTGCAGAGGTTACAGGACATGACTGACGACTTTTAAGACACTGAAAATATTTATGATATCTCAACATTTTCATTTGCTAATGGCAGATACTTTGAGTGAAAGCACAGCTTTAGGAATTTAAATGAAAGAAGAAAATATGGTGATAAAGTTTAATTTTTGTGGTCTGTTTGGGATCTTTGGTTTGGACGTATTTCCCATCACGTAGATGCGCTTTATCTACCATCCAGGCTTCAAAGCCAGGAAGCGTTCAGGTCCACAAAGCAAGGGAAAGACACGGGCCTGCGGGGTAGGGCCAGCGGGCAGCAGGCCCGGCCAACGTCCGCTGACATGCAGCCCTGGAGGGCGGCGGGGGACCCGAGCCTCCTGTCCAAAGGCAGGGCTGCGCCTGGCTCCAGCCAGTTGCTGGCCCTGGGGGGCAGGCCAGCTGGCTGGAGCTTCTGCTTTTCTAAGACTGGCCAGAAATGGGGATTTTGATGACAAGTCACTGGACCTTTATGATGAGGCAGGCTGTCCCCACTTAGTCCACTTTTAATCAGACCAGGTTGGCAGGAGATGCCCCGGCAGTCACCTGTCCTACAAGCAGCCCTTCCCCTCACTGCTGCTGCTCTTCCACCTGGAAGATAGCCCCTCCCAGGCCCACGGCACCCATACCAGGTCCAGATGCCTCTGCATGATGGCCACTAGATGGGGACCTCCCTAGGCAGGAGGCTTGTGCCACTGTGGTGCCCGTCGGTGCAGCCCAAGAGGCCGTCCGCTCACAGCCTGAGGGTCTAGGGGAGGCCACCATGGGCAGGGCCAGAGCATAGGGTCTGAGGCGGGAGGGGTGAGGGGGCTGGCAGTCACAAAGCCAGGAGAGGATGCCTGGAAGCCTGACTTCCATCAGCCACAGGGAGCCCCGGCAGGTTCTGGAGCAGAGAAGGCCCCGGTGTAGGGGGATGCCTACACTCAAGGATGTAAAACAGTGGCCACGCGGCCTGCAGAGCCCTGGAAAAGGAACGCTCAGGGCAGGACTATGGCGGAGGCGCGGAAGAGGGAGGCGGCAAAGTCCCCACTGGGAGGGGGCAGCCCTGGTGGACGCTGGGCTCAGAAGGGAGGGACGGCTGGGCTAGGGCGGACAGACACAGCCCCACTGTGAGAACAGGTTCCCACTGTTTGGCCGAGTGACCCCACGAGCAAAGCACAGCACGGGCGCAACTTACTTCCTCCACAGGGCCAGGGGCTGCTCAGGTTCCTTCTCCGCAGAGCCCAGGGACGCAACAAGTGCCAGGGGCCAGGCCAGCAGCATCATGGCGGCGGCAACCAGGAGCCGGACCGGGAAGAGCGTCAGCGTCATGAGGGCCACCTGCAGACAGAGGGGGTGTTATTTAGAGAATCCACGCGGGACACCAGCCAGCTCCCCACCCGGCGGGACAGGGGGACAGCGTGCCCCGTGGAGTGGAGAGCTGGGGAGGGGCTGCAGCCGGCACACAGCTGACCGGCCCTGACCGAGGCTGGCTGACGCCCTCCATGCCCACTGCCAGCTTCTTGCCTCCTTACAGGAGCCGCCGTGCAAGTGCCTTGGGAACCACACAGTGGAGCTCCCTCCTACAAATTCAAGGGCCCCTCTGACTCATGGTGCATGCCCTCAGGCAGCTCTGTCCCGCAGGGTGAACTCCCAGCTCCCCAGGCCTCACTCAGCAGTTTCCCCGAAATAGTTTATGGACGTTAGAGTACACACGCCGGCCTAGGCAGTGCTGGTGACATGGGGAGGTAGCTGGCCTGGAGCTTGCAAGGTTGGCCCTCGGACCACAAAGATGGCAGAATTAAGGTGTGACTTTCCAGCCGGCACACAGCTGACCAGCACTGACCAAGTGGAAGCACCGTGGAAGACCCGCTGTAGGTGAGCGGACTGGCAGGAGGGAAGTGGCCTAGGACAGCATGGGGGGCTCAGGAAGGCCCCAGGCCAGGGCAGGCTGAGGCTACAGGATCCCAGGCAGCCCAGGGTCTAAGGATGGAGGTCCCTCTGGGAGGCGGGGGGACTCCGTGCAGAGGGGCTGGAGACTTTGGGTGAGGGGAGGCACCAGTCCTGTGGGGCCAGTTTTGTGCACAGAAGACAGAGAAAACTGAGACACAGAGGGCGGTGGGCTCCCCTTGCGGCATCCATCCCTAATTTCTGACGCCTGTCATGACAGCACTCCCACTGTTTCCTTGGTTTGCTCCTAGATTCTTCTGGGTTTTCAACTGAGACCAGCAGAGCCCAAGAGAAACTTAATGCCGGCCCCATGTGTAATTTTAAATTTTCGAGGGGCCACACTAAAAGGTAACGATTTAGTATACGGTTCATTTTGGCCAATATATCTGAAATATCATTTCAGCACATACTCAGCATAGAAGTGGCCCCTGGCTGGTGTGCATTTTCTCATGCTGTCTTGGATGTGCAGTGTGCATCTCACTGTCACGGCCCACGCCATCCGTGTCTCCACCCTGTCAGCGTCCAGTGGTCAGGCCAGCCTGTTGGGCGCAGATCTGAACAAGCTTTGCTTTGCGAGAGATGACGACCTCTAATGTCTCTCTCCTTCCCCCGCTCCCGGGGCTGCTCCTCACCCCGTCCGGGCCCCGCCTCAGCATCACGCTCACTGCACCCAGCAACCACAAACCTGTTATCCCGCCACTGGTGACGACTGTCACTGTTCAGCATCATGCTACCAGCACTCGGCAAACGCCCTTTACTGCTGGGAAACCTTCCCAGGCCTCGCCCTCCACAAGTTTTGTTTTGCTTTAAATCATGACTGGGGGCTGCTGAGCCTTTTCAGAGGTCTCTCCCACCTCTATGGGAGAACCGCGTGCTGTTCCTCACTTTAATCCGCGAATGTGATGCCTCACAGCCAAGGTCTCTGAGAGTAAGAGCTGCCTTTAGTGCTATGCAGCTCCCCGTTAGGGAGCTGTGTTTGCTGGCTAACAGGTGCTCGGGACTGTCACCACCAGCTGTTAAGTAAGACGCGCCTGTCACTTCCTCCCGGTGGCTTCCTCGTGTGGCCGCCTTACGAAACCAGCACATGGCCATGCCCACCGGCAGCTCCTGCCTGCGCTTCACTGCGCCCAGCCTCACCGTGCAAGGTCGCTCTTTTTTCTTGGGTTAATTTCACTGCTGTTGTCAATGAGGAAATCGCTCCTGGAAGGTTCTGGCATATTCTTCCCTCCTGCTACCAGCATCTCCCAGCTGCCTTTCAGATAACAGAGTGAAGCTGCCCACCACACTCCTGCAGATTTACACCAAGCCTGCTCTCTGGTTTCATTTCTAATGTTATCTGTGTCTACCTAACAAAACTTCTAAACCGACGTCACCAGATACTTTTCTATTTTATTAATCTGTTTACAGAACCATTTTAGATTTGTTCATTCTCTCTGTTGTGACCAAATCATATTAATTTCGGCTCATACAAGTTCCTCTTTCTTCTGCTTTGAATTTGGTCAAATGTTCTTTTTAACTTCTTGACGGAAAAGCCTGCGTTGTTATTTTCAGAAATACCTTACTTCCTGATACTCGCATTTAGAACACAGCTTCCCTTGAGGACCACTCGATTTAATCCAAGTCTATGGGGCAGCCTTTCCTTTATCTGTAAAATTTACTTTTAACTATTGTGTCCTTTCCCATCTTTTGTTACTGTTTCATATTTCGTTGCAGGGGGGAGGACCCAGCCTCGGCCTTCAGCCCACCTAGGCCTGGCTCCAGGGCCACCAGCTGGGACGAGGCCGCTCCGGAGAGGCCGCTGCAGAGCACACGAGACTGGCTCTGCTGTTAAAGCCAACAGCTGGCAGTCTCTTCCCAATGGGCACAGAAACTAAGTTACTGGGTAAGTTTATTTCTTATTTCCATAAATTGTTCTTAGAACCTGTTGGCTTCCCGGGCACACGCCATGAAGTGGTGACAACCAGCACTAAGAGAAAGTCTCAGAAGTTCCACACTCCGACCCTGTGACCACGGTGGCCTCTGCCCACCGCCTGCTTCCTTCCACCGCCAGCGTGGCAGCCAGTCCCACTACCAACACCGCTTCCACCACAGACAGTGGAATAAAATCACAGTAACCCATGGCATTCCTGAACCAGCACCAACTGCCAGGACATTCCATCCCCAAACAACACCGGGCACAAATGAGACCTGGGTGGCCAGGCCCTGCCTGCATCCCAGGCGGTCAAGCTGATGGTTCCTTAGCACATGGGGTTCACTGGACCACCTGGTGGGGGATGCATTGTGCGACCACGTGAATCCCTGTGCCAGCTCCTGTGTGCATCGGGAAAGACTGCACGACCACGTGACCTGCGCCCCACACATCCCTGCACCTGCCCCTTCGTGCACAGGGAAGACTGCGTGAACACGCTATCTACTGCGCCTGAACACGTGACCCTCCTCACCCGTCAGTGCGTCTGCTCCTGTGGGATCCCGGACGGCTGCGAGACCGTGTGACCCTCCACCCACACATCCATGCGCCTGCTTGTGGTGCACTGGGGAATGCAGCCCGTGCTTCTGAGCTCAGCGGCAGCTGGGAGAAGGGCCTGTGAGCCACAGTTGCAATTGCTGACCCTCGGCAAACAGGGCTGATGAGTGGAGGGTGGAGATGGAGATGGAACACAGCCAGAGAGGAGCTCCCCAGGCCTCCGGCAGTGCTATGAAAACTGCTTAGAGGGGGCCTCCAGGAGCCCCAGGCAGGAGGAGGCGCAGTGCTCCTGGTGAAGAGCCCAGGCATCCCCACGGCTCTGCCCTTCCCCTCACCCAGCTCCAGGCCTGTGCGCTCTTTCTCTGCCAGGCTTGGCCCGCCCACAGGAGCCAGGCGCCCTGACCAAGGGGAACAGGACTGGGGAGCCTGCTGTGGCTCCTTCCAGAAGCTTCTGTGCTCCCAGCACCTTCTGTCCACCTGTCTCCCCTACAGGCCCCACCCCTGCATCCAGCCTCAGGCCCACCCATGGGGCTCCCTCCATTTCCTCATGCCCCCAAGCGCTGGTGCAGATGAATTTGGATGGACTCTGTGGCCCCTGAGCCAGGAGAGGCCAGTGTGGCAGAGATACAGAGAGAAGCCGGCAGGGGCAGCTGTGGCAGCCAAGTTCCTCAGTGCTGGCAGGGGTGGCAAAGGGAGGTGCTGGGCAGGCAAAGTGTTCTTAGAAAATCCTGGCCAGACCAGAAACTCCCAGAACAAAGGCCCTCTAAGGAAACGGGACTGGCCATGCAGTCTCCCAGGCAGCGTCACTGGAGACTCAGGGCATTAAGCGGCTGCACTGGGCACAGCCATTCCTCCCTGAGGCAGCTTGGCAGTGGCCAGAGAGAGCAAGCACACGTGTACAGACCAGAAGCCATAGGGACGCCTGGCAGAGAGGGCAGGGTTGATAGCATAATCCTCACCCAAGTGAGGCCCGGTACGCTCTCCCCACCCAAGTGAGGCTCGGCACCCTGGTTCAGAGTCTCCCATGGAAGCCCCCTTGGTGTCTTCACCAGAGGCAGCAGGGGCAGTGTGTGGCCCAAGGTATCACTGCAAGTCGTGGACAGGGACAAGCAGACTGTCACAGGGACAAGGAGGGCAGCTGTGGGGAGGTGGTGCGGCCACCGGGCAGTGTGGCCAGAGGCTGGATGGGGGGAGAGGGAAGGACTCACAGAGCAGAACACGGGCCACGCTTCCAGTGACTGTAGGTTGGGCCACCACGTGGCAGCTAACTGGAGAGGATGCTGTGGATGCCTGCGGACACCGAGACCTGCACTGTGGCCCTCCCAAGACAAGCTGCTGATGGCTGTGGACCGGCTGTCACCACAGGAGCCTGATCACCCTGAGAAATGCCAGCTGGAGGAAGCAATGCGGTCACTCAGTGTGAGCCATAAGTGAGGGTGTGTAGCATAATCCTTTGAGGAGCTATGTCTGAAGTCTGAGGCTGAGTTACTTCAGCTACTTGAAAGTTGGCTACAATAAATGGACATGTCCCTTTAAAAAATAAGTGGCATGTATGAGCATTGACAGAGACACAGTATGTTACGTGCTGAGCGGCCAATTTAACTTGGACTTGAACTTCCTGTCCTAACCTGGCACCTTTCCCCAAGCGTCCCCGGCATCCTCAGGATGTCCAGGCAGTGACCTGCCCACATGCACGGAGAGCTTCGGTACAGACTGCAGCCACTAAATACCACTTCCCAGCAGAAGGCCCAGGGCTCCTCAGCCAGGCTTGTTCCAGGTCACAGGGGGAAATGCAGAGATGAAGCCGGGACAGCATGGCGTAGCCCTTATCAGGGAAGCTGGCGGAGGCTGGGCGTGGGGGCTCCCAGCACCATGGTGCAGCCCACATCAGGGAAGCTGGCAGAGCTCATGTCCTGAGGGCTGGCTC